ACAAACTAGAAGATTCAGAAAATTGGGAAAAAAGACACAAACAGTTGTAATGATTTGATTATTAAGCTCAGGTTCTCTTTCAAAGCAAATATATTTGGTTTTGATTTCTCCAGTGGAAGAAATCCACTCAGTTGGCTAGTCTCCAAGGAAGCAATTGTTTGGTCACGTCACGAAACTCACAAATGGTGTTGTGTGACGAGAACAAACACTGAACCCTCTGATTGGCTAATTAAAAGAATTAACAGAAAACAAAAGGGACAGGCGCGAACACTACCAAATAATACGCCCCTTCCCTTTCCTAACCCTGAAGTGTTGACTTCGTGGTAATGCAATGAATTAGCGTATTTCGCGACTAAAGATTGGGCCAATTACGAAATGTGACCAATCACAGTCCACGTTCATTGATTCGTGACCAAAGCAAACCTGAGCGCTATAGCACTGGACGAGGGTGAGATGTTTCCCCCCTGTTCTATATTAACTTTCAATTTTAAAACGTTCAAAACGTGTCTTTTACAGACCAATCCGTAAATGACTCACGTGACTTACATTACTTAGATAAAACAAAAGAAAGATAAACTTGGAACCCTAGAGGTAGAGAGGCCCAAGAAAATGGCCGTCAAGAGTTTGGAAATGGCTCTTAAATGGAGCGGTCGGTTCGATGTAATTTTGCTATTTGGAGCTCTCTGTTGAGCAAATAACAGCATAAGATTATAACTCTTCTCAAATGAGCTTTTTTTTCCACAGATCATGCTTGAATAACGATACTCCCTTTTTCCGTTCTGTGAGTTACTTACCATATTTCGAGAGAGATAAATTGCTTGAAAGTTCCATCACCTATCGTCTTCAGTCTGTTGTGATCAAGGACCCTATAACCCATTAGGAAAATATTTACAAGTTATTTACCCCAATGAGCCAAGCTTTATATGCTTGAACGCGAGCAAAGGAAACTGTGGCTGGAATATGAAATCGAAGCTTTCAGAGAAACTTCCCTATAACCCTGGAACGTGACAAACATAGCATAACAGAAAAAGAAATCCTTGAATATAATGTTACTACTGTTAGTGTTATTTGAAAAAGTTTGCAATCCTTCCTAGGCTACTCTTGACCTTAGAAACACAACCTTTCATACTAAGTTACCTTCAACAGTTCGGGCCATAACCATTTCTGGATATCGGTTTCGAGCTTTGTGATTGGGTGAGATCAAAACGAAAACAAAGCAAATTTGGCCGAGAGGTGCTGGAAACAAGAAGCTCTTTTTTTTTTTGTTTTTTTTTTTGTGGCGGCCATGTTGTAATGCGGTAGTAAGCTGAAACAAAATTCACTAATAAGGACTGGACGTAAGATACCATTAAAAATATTCGTTTATTTCAAACATTCCACATGCATGTCCTCGACATTCTCGCATTCTGGAAGAGTACAGCGGATTCTTTCCATCACAAATTCTTTGTAACGCTGTGGTCCTTCCACCAAGAGCGTCACAGGAATAAACAAGCTCCTCCGCCAGCCTGTTTGTATCTGGAGAACTTCTGGGTAGAGCTTAGCCTCGATGTTACTGACCGTTCTCCGTTGATTTCCTTATTTTGGGTTACAAGAAAACCAATTAAATAAGGTTGAACCAAATAACGCGCACTGATAACAATTGGGACGAGTGAGGTGTGAGATCGCGGAATCGGGACAATTTAATTTTTCTCCAGTATAGGTCGAGGAAAGACAATATCTTGCTTCTCTCCGATTTTTAAATAGACATTATCAAATTCAGTCCATCAAACCTTTAAGAAAAGTAACAGTAAAGTAAGAAAACAGTAACTTACCCTTCAATTCCTGGTTATTTTGCCACATCGGAGCAAAGCATGCAGCTGTATGTTTAGAAAGTGCTGAACCGTGCCGATCTGCTGCCCTTTGACATCTCCTAAAGTGTATTTCTTTCTCTGCGATTTGCTAAAAATCTGGACTTTTCGTAGAGCCTCTGGAATGCGTTCCATTTCTCGTGGAAGAAGACAAGCTAGTGCATGCGAGTCATACGTGTTGTCGTCTTCACTTTTAATAACAAGCGGTGTTCCACGTGGACGAAGTATTCAGCGTTCCACGTGGAGCTTTGATCTTGAAATTATGATACCCGGAAAATAAACGCCAATAAATACATGAGTGGGATAAAATAAAAGCAAGTAGTCACAATCTATATTAAGACGAATACACATTCGAATTCAATGCAAGAGAATCATACAAGGTATTTTGCGCGCTATTGATCGATTCGCGGGAGAATCTAGGTCTCAGAACACTACAAATTCGGTCCTACAGCTTTTAGTCAGCAATGATATGTCCTTGACAATTACCCTTTGATTTGAACATCCTGTATAGAAAGTTTGTTTAGGTAATCACTGCAAAATGTGAAAGCACGAGCGGTGTTTCTAAACGAGTTTCACAATTACAGAGAAGTCCCTTGTGGTTTTAGACGAAAATTTCACTCTCATCAGTTCGTGTAGTTAAACTCCAACCTTTGTTTCCGGAATGCTGTAATAGAGACACTTCGGCAAGGCTTTCCACCGATGTGATTTCTTTATTTTCATCTTCATGCCGCTCTTATCGCACTTTTCCCGGATACGATACCTGAAGATATGAGAGCTCAGTGAACGAATACCTCTTTGTTTTATGTTTGCCCGAAGGAGAACTTACTCGCTGGATAATCGCATTTATGTGTTAGATCCGTGATTTCCTGAAATTATTTTTTTAGTGTGCATTCGCCTTGGCTGAATGAATCTCTCTGATGTCAAGATCGACATTGATTCGAAATTTCATCCACAGTTCCGATTTAAAAGATTCTTTGTTTGTAGCACTGACCCAGGTCCGTGGCAGATTTGTGCCACAAAGACGACAGTGTCTCGAGATACTGAATGTGTTCATCCATGCTGTTGGCTTGATCTGAAATTCACAATGTAGGCTTTTAAAGGTCCGATAAATAATTGTCCTTTTACTTTAAATTGGCCGGCCACAACGTATGGTTAAAATTTATGGTTTACACGATACTCCGATGGATCTGAACAAAGGAATCCGTCTGGTAGTTTGCACACTAACAGACTTTCAACATTCGTCCACTCGAGCAAAAACCTCGTGCACTCGATTGGAATTTTGACAAATTGAAAGCAAATTTATTCTAGTTTTTTAAAAGATTTTTTTAGGAATCAAAACAAATGTTGCATACCTGAAAACCTCAACTAAAGAGAGGTTACTCCTCGATCGAGCCCTTCGCAACATGAACCTCCACCCGACTTTTCATCTGAATTATTCCTTCTCGTCATTGCGACCACCATCAGTTCTTTGCTTGTTGTGTGTAATTGCTTGTCTTCTGTAATTTTGTAAGGTTTCATGGGATATGGGTAGGGAACAGAGTCGCTAGGGCTCGAATAAAGTAATGAGTGAGTTTCCTCGAGGTCCCACTCCGACATCCATGTTGGTGACGTCATCAAGTATCCAGAAATGGTTATGACCCGGACTGTTCAAAACGCTCGAGAGTCAATAATAGAAACAAAATTGCTCCACGCCCGAAGTTCGACCATGTTTTCGAACAGAAACAATAAATTTCTTGGCTCTCCACGATGAAGGTTGAGGACTCTTATGCCTTTCACTCCTCAAACTTGTTCTCAGGTTTGAAGCATATGAATACAATTAGCTTGAAAGGTCTTGTCTTGAAGTGCTATTTCAAATTTCAAAGGAAGGAAATGGAATTTTTCCACAGCAAATGGGTGCCGCCAGGCATATCAAACTTATTTCCCATAAGCGTGAACATTTGCTCTAATTGGCTTTCAGGCTGGCGCGAACAACGCTTTCCCTACTGCGCTTGCGCATCAGAGTATCAATCGCATTAGTGACAATTTACATTTGTAAATGTTACGAGTGTCGATGTAGAGCAGGGTTGTTCCCAGACAAAACTCAGGATCGTCGGTAACAACAACAAACTGTTTTATTTCCGCGTAGTTGACTTCTTGTTTTTATAGCACTAAGCTTCTTCGCAAATCTCTCTCTCTGTTCGATGGAACTGTCGCTCTTATATACATAAAGTATAAGGATCCAGAAACTTCTCTAAAGAACTAAATTTATTAGTCAAGATGAACAGGGTTCTAAATTTGAATAATTACGTAAGAAATAGAACGTTCCAGAATGTTCTCTTTACCAGAAGGTCACGTCTAGATGACTTCGGGTTCTAGAATGTTCTATTAGAATGTTTTGGGACTTTACTTAGACAATTTTTCGTAACAGTAAACATGGCGGCTGCAAGGGAAAGGAGAGTCCCAAAACGATACCCCGATGAGGTCTTTTCAACTAGGCTTTTATTCAAGAAGAAGACAAGAACAAAAACCAACGACCGTAAACTTTCATCCTGTCGTTGTGACAGTCGTAGACAAAGTCGCAAAGCGAGTCAAATTTACCACGTTGGAATCTTTGGGATCTTTTTCAGTTTGTGATACTTGCAGCTTCTCTCTGTGTCGTCGAGCCCTTCCTCAAGTTTCTGTCGCTTGGTAGTTTCGTTCTGTAAAGATTCTTCTAGCGCTCGTTTTCAATAAAGTAATTATCTAGCTCGTTATAAAATAACTTGACAGAATGATTATTAGAATGAGCCTCGACATCAAAACCTCCACTTTTCCTCTTGCTCGCTTTGGCTTTGCACACATGGTCCCAATCTTTTTCTTGAATACATTTGTTATTCGATTGTTGACGACGATGTCTCTAACGCCCGTTTGTTACATGGTTTTCTCCACAACTACAGCGCAGGTAGATTCGCCACTTCCCTCCCCATTCTCTTTGGCAATTGTGTAGAGAAGATAGCTGAAAAATTGTTAAACACGACTGGTATCAGACATATTCGAGACTTACTAGCAACAAATGCCGTATCTCCGGGAACAAAAGGAAAAAAAAATCAAATCGCTTCATTTATTTATGAGACTACTTACTTTTTCATACTGCATGTAAACGTGGGTAACGAATGGCCGGAAAATCATCCTGTTATTGGACCCTCTGATCTTTCTCCCACGGCTTTTACGGATCCGTAGAAAACCAGAAGTAAAACCAGCGAGAGTGCTCCAACTTGAGCGGCCATTTGACCCAACTAAATCGGTTGCAAACTAGACGAATTATATACCAAAATAAAGAAAATTTCTCGCTCCATTCGAATGTGGCAGTACAATTGAGATTTGAACATGCGCGAAAGAGCTAGGACCCATTCTTACGGGCTAACCCTGATACGACACTCTGAACGCCTTCGTAAATTGCCTTATCGGAATATTAAAAATTGAATTTTGACTCCTTAAAGCTTGAAGCTTTGGTATTTCAAAAGAAGTTATAAATTTTTTTTGTTGGTAAAATTAATCACTATCAAAAGGTCTCTTAGTAATCGAGCCAAAGGTTCCAGATTTTGTGTGTTCTAGAGACACAAAGTAGTGGGGGCGGGGTCGCCCAGATTTGATGTAGGCTTTTGTTAATTGTGAGTTTGATATGATTTCCATAATTTCACATTTTTTTTCAAAGACTGATGGTCTATAGTTACCATACTTACAAATTAGCGAGGTTATCCGTAAGTCCTTCCAATGTACCCTTGTCTATATGTGTCAGCTTATTATTAGACAGTGTACTGAAAACCGAAAAGTTAATCATGATATAATTGTCATTGTCATGTCATTGATGTCATGTCGCATAATAAACTGAACAAAAAATTTCAGGGTAATTTAGTACTATCAACTAAGTTGATAACGTAAATTGACCATAGTTAAGGATTTAAGAACTGACGTTTCGAGCGTCAGCCCTTCGTCAGCGAAGTAGTACCAGATTACCCTGTTATACTCTCCCACCGAAGCAGCACCACAGTTTCTTTAGAAACTTACATAGTCCCTTTAAACTCGATATTAGCAACGTAAAATTGCGTGCTGTTGGTTTTCTGCGGTAAACTTGATTGCCACTTGTCAAGGATGTGATAAATGATGTGCGCCCGTTTAAGAACTCAGTACCAGTAATTTTAACTAGTTTAAGGAGGTGTGTCCACATTTTAATGAAATAAATTTATTATCTTCGCAATTAAAAGTGTACTTGTCAATTCGAAAGTGAACTCCGCCACTTGAATCTTACCTTGCCCACTCCTCCCCCTTCCTAGCCTCCCTTCCCCCCATAAACTTGACGCTTGACGATCAGTGAGAATACTTGACCCAGAGGAAATACAACGCAGTAGCTGTTTGTAAACCGCGCCATATGTAGTTTTGCGTGCGTGGACAGGTTAAATAATTGTCTTGGAAATGGTGGCGCCCACATTAGCTCTTGTAGCATATTTGAAGAAAATTTGTTTACCTTTTTGGAATATGAAAACATACCGTCAAATACTACTTACAGGTCTTGTAATTGTTGCATCGACCGAAAAGTTCCATTTTGTATATTCTCCAAGTCGCAATTTTCCATGGAACTACATACAAAAGTTATTAAAAAAAATAAAAAATAAAAAAATCAACACAAAGCAGGTTGGTGCTGTAGAAAAAATTGAGCAAGACTGAGATCACGTTATCGAAAGTTTCCTGATTTAAGAAACTGCCTTCGGGAGAATTTTTTTTTAATTTGTCAATGAATGTCTGTTTTTGAAATGTAGGTGTCTTAATTAAGGACACTGTTGGAAATTTTCTGTGAAAAGATATGAAAGAATATCTTTCATTAGCCAAGTGGAGAGGAATTATCTTCTATTTCAAAACGCGCTTCTACTGAAAAAGGCATTCATCTAACTCTATCTTTTGACGAAACCTTCAAGCAAGTGAACTCAGCGATGGTCATGACCAATAATTTGCAGTTCCATGCATAGAGCAATTTTCAATTGAGTGTTAAAATTTAATCCAAAATTTTGTTTTGGTTTTGCAAAGTCAGTCTTTGACTGATCTACATAGCTCGCATCATCCTTGTAACCTATCAGATGCAAACGAAAACCTATCGTGACTTGGTCGCCCGCGTTTTCCCGCGTTTCCCGAATTTGAGTTTTCACTTTGAGTGCTCATTGGTTGTTGATGATGTAAACCTCTGCTCTGCTACAGAGAAAAGCAACCAGAGCTGGCTCGCTCGCTTGTTCGCAGTCCAAGTGTTGCAATCAACTTCGGGAATAACTATATCATGAGACAAACATTAAAACTTTGTTCTATGGTGGTGATTTGTATGTTGAACTACTTAACTTACAGATATTTCATATCGTTAAAAACAGCAAAGATATCTGCTGGCAGAGATGGTCCAAGTGGATTTGAATTAAGGTATCTGTAAAGTGAACCGTTTGCAATCAGTAAAAACTCTCTTCTACATTCAGGTAGGTCGACATGACATAAAAACAGACGGCAAATATTCGTGCTTAATAAAATGTGACGAGTGATATAACAAGATACAAAAGAAATAATTGGCAGAATAATGATAACGCAAGAGATCGAGGATAAGGTTTATTCTCTCTTGTTATGACATTATTTCTAGGATAACTATATCTTAATTACATTTTATTTAAAGTTTTTTTCCGGATGAAAAATTACACTTACAGTTTCCGAAGCCGTGTTAGTCCTTTGAGAATGACCCTTACATCCGCAATTGATATTAGGTTGTGTTCGAGTTTACTAGGCAAATAAAATACTTAAAATTAATTAGCTTTTTGATGAATTTAACGGCGTTATGATGACTCACGCAGCCTCATTCCATTTGCGTCACTGTGTCTCATCCATGAACAAATAACATCCCTTTTTTTATGAGAATGAGCTAACGAGAAACATCAAAATAAACAAGACAAAATAAAACATAGTATGACTTTTTTAAGATGGCATGCATAGGTAAATCTGAACTTTACGATGAACTTTCGTCTACTTTAATTACTCACAGTATAGAAAGGCTTGGAGGAAGGTAAAAATTCCCTGAAATTGAATTCATTTCCAGATTTCTGGAAAGAAAATGTCAACGAATGTTAGGAAATGAAGACTAGGTAATTAATTACCTCAATAAATTTTTTTCGACTATACGATGCAAATTTACTGTTGAAATGCAACAATTAGAAATTCCCTTACATAATATCCAGATTCTTCATATTCTTGAAAGTGTTTCGTGGAATGTGCCGCAATGAGTTATTTGGCAAGGCTCTAAGAAAAAAGAGCACACAAAAAAGCTAGTCATGATCAGGTGCAAAAGTTTAAGTAAGCCAAATGTTCCCCGCTAATTTACTCTGCTTACCTTAATTTAAAAATCGTTTGGAGAAGAACATTTTCCAAGTGCAAATCCCTCATTCTGATTCGCTAAAGTTGTAGGCATCTATCAGTTAAAATTATTGAGTTGCTAACCAATGGTCTTTTTTGCGTTTACAGTTGACTCGGGAAATATTTTGTCACCTGGGAAAGTTCCTTTTCTAATAACTGTTTCAACAATCCTACCTATTTTCCTTGATACTTGACAGTTTTATCTCAATTACTACTTACAGTTCCTTCAAAACAGTCAAGTCCTTAAAAGTGTCTTCTGAAATTGTGTTCAGGGAACAACTTGAAAGATCTCTAAAGAAAAAATTGAACATGGTTAAAAGAATGAAAATGATTAAAATGCAATTTGCAGAGTCGACGTAAAAGATATATGTTACCTTCTAAGGGGAGTGTTATTGAGAGGTCTTGAATCAATGCCACATAAGCAAAAATAACGCAAAAGATCTCAGGAAGGTGTGAAATTTCAAAAGGAGGCAATAGCATGCAATTTACGCAAAGAAAGAGAATTTGTAGAGGAAACAGGATCGTGAATTTCTTAACTCTAAGTGTAAGAGTTCGTATCCAAACTATGGTGGTGTAATTTCCCCCAAACGAGAGATGAGCAAGATGGGTAATTTTGTGAAAGAGAAATGTGCCCTATAAAAAAGTGGGTTCGTACAAAAAAAATTTATCGTTATAGGTTATCAAGAATTGGGGTGAAATTGAATTAACGAGCTGTTAAGTACATAGAGAGAATATTCATGAAAGCTAACAAAAAATCACAAGTTCAATTGACGCAAATTTCTTAAACGAAGCTGGGGGTGCGATTGTATTAACGTGGCGAATACTAAAATGAAATGTGCTTTCGTGTGAATCGAGGCGACTGGTTATATATTGTGATCAGTGTGGTTTTTCCTACGATAAATTTGTGTATGCGTTTTTTTTTTATGTGTGTGTGTGTGATAGGTAACATACCAAAAGAGAAGATGACACGTCTAGAAAGAACAAGGACGATTAACGTTTTTACATCACTTACAGTGTCAATGTATTGTTTGGGATTTTGGCCGGAATGGGTCCATGAAAATGACACTTTACTCTCACGAATGCGTGGGTCCTACCAAATTTAGTGCAGTTACAGATTTCAGTTTTCAGGCTGCAAACGTTACTCTCACATGGTGTTACAAACCAAAAGACCAAGATGACTTGTATCAGGCCAATAAACATCATTACAGAGTCCAAACTAGGTTTCTGGGAACAAAAGTTACAACATCTTCATTTCTAGATTAAGAACTAAAAGCAAATTCATTTCCGTTAATTGTCCTTTTAAAGCAGCAGAGCTTTGTCTGCCAGGCAGATCTCTCGCGAAAGTTTATCGACATTCGTGCGCATTACTGACATTTTGCAATGCTTCAAGTTGGGAAATAAAAGGATAGCAGTCCACTGATGTTTCTCTTTCAGTAATATGAACGGTCATAAAAATTGCTAAATTAGGTTCCTCATTAGATGGACAATAAAGAGACAGATACGCTATTTGTAAAGGCTCTCCATCGTGAATGTCACCTGTGTCTTTCCAACAGTCATGAGACGGCCAATAACTTACCTCATATGAGAGTTTAAGGTTCTTTGTAAAACGCGTTGAAATACCCACAATCAGGCCGCTAAATATCTTTAATTGCAACTTTATAAGAAATGGGAAGTTATAAAACTAGCTTTCGTTTTAAATAAATCATCTTCCGTTAAAAAAGGTCGAAAGCAGATTAAAAGGCACTGTCCGTGCGTTTTTGAATAAATTATTTACATATAGCATAGTTTCGAACCATCCCTGTTTGTTTTTGATAGGAAATATCTGAGTGATTTTAGAGTTATTATTGGCTGATATATTATGGACGATAAACCCAGAGAGAAAGTGATTCATACATATTAGAGACGACTAGGATTTTTAAATATCATGTTTACAAAACTGATTTGTTGACGTTAACTTCCTGTTCATGCCTAAGTCAGTAGTCATCGCTTTTCCATCCGTTTTGTTTTCTTCCCAATAATACCGTTTGGTTTCGAGCCGTTTTCAAATGATAATTGAGCAAACACATCTTGATTGTGACAAGCAGCAAAGAACCAGAAACAGGGTTCGAATCTTGAAGCCAAGCAAAAAAACGGAAGCGATCTCTTTGGCAAAAAAACTGAAATTCTCAACCCAGAGAGAAAGTGATTCATACATATTAGAGACGACTAGGATTTTTACATATCATGTTTACAAAACTGATTTGTTGACGTTAACTTCCTGTTCATTCCTAAGTCAGTAGTCATTGCTTTTCCATCCGTTTTGTTTTCTTCCCAATAATACCGTTTGGTTTCGAACCGTTTTCATATGATAATTGAGCAAACACATCTTGATTGTGACAAGCAGCAACGAACCAGAAACAGGGTTCGAATCTTGAAGCCAAGCAAAAAAACGGAAGCGATCTCTTTGGCAAAAAAATTGAAATTCTCAACCCAGAGAGAAAGTGATTCATACATATTAGAGACGACTAGGATTTTTACATATCATGTTTACAAAACTGATTTGTTGACGTTAACTTCCTGTTCATGCCTAAGTCAGTAGTCATTGCTTTTCCATCCGTTTTGTTTTCTTCCCAATAATACCGTTTGGTTTCGAACCGTTTTCAAATGATAATTGAGCAAACACATCATGATTGTGACAAGCAGCAAAGAACCAGAAACAGGGTTCGAATCTTGAAGCCAAGCAAAAAAACGGAAGCGATCTCTTCGGCAAAAAAACTGAAATTCTCAACCCAGAGAGAAAGTGATTCATACATATTAGAGACGACTAGGATTTTTACATATCATGTTTACAAAACTGATTTGTTGACGTTAACTTCCTGTTCATGCCTAAGTCAGTAGTCATTGCTTTTCCATCCGTTTTGTTTTCTTCCCAATAATACCGTTTGGTTTCGAGCCGTTTTCAAATGATAATTGAGCAAACACATCATGATTGTGACAAGCAGCAAAGAACCAGAAACAGGGTTCGAATCTTGAAGCCAAGCAAAAAAACGGAAGCGATCTCTTTGGCAAAAAAATTGAAATTCTCAAGCGTAGGTAAAACATCTAGAGGAGGTTGCACACAGCATCGAAGGTTAATCCCTCCTGGTAAGTTACTGGTGTAGTAAGACATTGGAGTAGTATTCATGTTCATAAAATTTTGGTTACACTCCTCGTTCTTATCATAGCGTTGCTAAGTATCCAGTTCAAGCATGGAGATTTCGTGTTCCAACATTAACAATGGGAAAAAGTTGGAAAATGTTTAAATTTAAAAAGGGTTCCAAATCCTTCTCGAAACTTCAGTTGAAATTAGACCTAGAAAAATGTTTAATTACGCAAAAAACGTATTACGGTGCCTGAATAAGCATCCTTCAATTGCTGACCTAAAAAAGGGCATCCTCAAACTTAAACAATTGCACACTGTCGTTGTTCCTACAGTAGGATTTGCGTCAGCTTTCACACTAGCTGTTAAGTAGACTTGAGTCTTCTGCTGTGAGTATTTTACTTCTTCACGATAATTTTGCGATGTCGGCCTTCTATGTTTTTGAAGGATCGTTATTAAGTGTGTTCATCAGATTCTACATGCAGTTGTATCCGATTGCTTTCCGTCTTCAACGTCTTCGGTAAAGAACTGTTGGCCTACCGGTATAAATGATTGAATTTTCCTCTTTAAAGTCCATAGTGAAGCTCAGTCTTGTCCTAGAACCTTCTGAAAACTTAAGTGTGTTCGAATATGCGAAGAAAACAGACGTCTGATGCTAGCTTACGGAATGTGTTAACGAGAACAGTTTCGCCATGGGAAATTTAGGAGAATTGATACGAAAGCAGACCAAGCAGATAATAATTAATTTATCAGATTTCAAATGGTAATTTGCATGAATACCGGTGGCGAGTTTCCTGAACTTCTAAAGGTTAGCCGCAGCTAATCCCGTCCTCAAAGAGCGAAGAACGGGCATATTTCCGGGCCAAATGGAGGCTATTTCGTTTATCATCCTTCCAATGTTTTTTGCAAATTAGTTGAAAAAAATGTTTATCGGTACAGCTAACCATTAACTGCGTGGGTTTTTAACTTCTCATTGTTCTCTGGTACGATTTTATGAACAAACAAGCATGTCCTTTCTTTCTTAACAACCACAGAACGCTCTCTCACCTTCAATCAATTATACTGAACGAAGACTTATCGTCATAAATGTAGAGCTTGAAATTGGGGAATTCTACTTAAGGTATATCGTCGATTATGATCCATAGAATATTTCTACTCGCTCGTGACTGATCTAAACACATCACTTCAACAAATATTTTCCCTCCTAAAACTGGGGTATATCTAAGGATATCACCCACGTGATACCACCCGATTTTCAAACCTTACATCCACTATGATAAGTCTTCGTTTAAAACTCAATTTAAGATGAGAGAGAGTTCTACGGTTGTTACGGAAGAAGGGAAATATTTTTATTCATAAAGTCATACCAGAGAACACTCGAAAGAAGACATCCCACGCTTAGAACATTAAGCTGTTCGTAAATATTTTTTCACGTGTTTCGCAAAATATTTTAAGGATAAGAAACACAATAGCCTCTGTTTTGCGCGAAGATGCTCGTATAATTGTTCTTGGGTATTATCTGTTCCTCGAAGCTCATTTCTTTCCTTGTCATCAGTTTATTTCGTTCCCTGCAGTCGTTTCGTTCCTCAGTTATAAACAGCAAATCTGAAACAGAAAAATTAAAAAAAAAATTTAATATTTTTTCAATTTCCCATTTCATTTTCCCATTCCTCTTTCCCTTTCCTCTTTCCCGCTTGTAGTAACATCACTGCGAAAATGTGATCGATATCAATAAATTCCTTTTCAGTATTTTGCTGCCCAGCTGTCACTTTAGAAGACAATGAAGTGTTCAACCAATCAACTGCGAATCATCGCCTTGAATCTGTTGCTTTTCGTCTTCACTAAGACTGTGGCATATCCCCCGGGGATAGAAGTTATAAATGTGACTTTCTGTGGTGAGTTCCTCTTTGGCTTGTGACAAATATACATCTTTAAACGTTAAAAAACCGTAGTAGGTTTAATGCTTGTCTTTTTTTATTGTGCAGTTCGATATACCTCGTGAGAGAAGTCCTTACTCTGGGATTGTTGTCGCAAGCAGCGATTAACGTTTCGATACTCTTAGCGGAAGTCATTATTTATTGACGCGGTTCGACTCAGATGAAGACTTGAACAATAGCAACGAAGTTGACATATTTAAACACAAACCAGTCTCCCAAAACACAAATTAATTAACCAAAACGCAATCAATTTCTCAAAAACGTTATAAATAATCACATATTTTATCATGTTGGTTTTAATAAATCAATTTCAATTTTAGCAAATGAAGTTGTGAACTAACTTCACAGACAATCAAATCAGATCAGATGTCTTTTAAAACCTATTTCCCTTGGGTGGGCGCCTCGCATGGGTCCTACTGCCCCGTTTGCGCCCTCCCCTTTGGATTTTTATTCTTTGAAGTTATTCGACTGATTCCTCCATATCCTTTGACTACTGTTTCTGAATTTATTGCCAAATAAAGATTTAAACAGAAAATAACACAATCAATTGCGTTCAAACCAGTTTACTTCTTGCATTTTTTACAGGCAACTACGATAAGACAGCGAAAATCAAAATTTCTCCATTGCCTTTCATCCCTACTGGAGCTATCGTTAATTTAACAGTAATATTCACACCCGGTAAGTTGATGTCAGTGGAATATGAATATGTTCTATCGAATAATTTCGTTCGTGCTGTTGTTGTATTTCGAAACATGCCACATGGTTCAACGTTATCCGTTTATTCAGTAAATACTAATCCTAGATATTCCCTTATATCACAAAAACAACTCTGCATCTGCGAAACAGGATTGGAAGAGAACTAGGCGACCCGTTTCGAGAACGTAACGCAAGAAGGAATGCAAAGGACGGATTACGAATCATTCTAAGCAGCATGATATGTCGCGCAGTCTGCAGCCCCTCCTTGCATCTAAGCAATTCGGAAAGTTGCAAAACATTGCTAAAAAAAAATTTATCGAATGTATCTATTGGCACTTTTAGCCTCCTCGGTTTCAACGCTTTGCATTCAACATTTTTAAGATATTCAAAAACTCATTAATAATTCATAAGCTCATTAACCTATCAAATGGTAGATAATACATCACTTGCAGTGACTTTATATCGATAAACCTCATCCTTATTAGTATGCGGTGTTTTATCAGATATAAAGACACTGCTCGTGACTTATGAATATTAATTAATTATCAACACAGAAACTGACACAACAAATGTTGGGAACATATTTAAGAGAGTGTCTCTGTAAGAGCGGTCCGGTCGATTTTGCTTGAGACACGGATTTCGCTCGTTTCTCGTGTGTTGTAAGACATTCATGTACCTATACTAAAACCACAATCAGTTTGATCGGATCTCTTTATTATTCAGAGTTTTACGGAAATTAAATTTCACTCGAGCGAAGGCTTGTCGTGACACTTTTCAAGACTTTAATTTCATACAACTTTGGAGGACAATTTACAAAAAACTACGGAACTCAGCAAAAAACAAATACCATAGCCATGTATATTTACTCTATCTTATCTATCGAGGCGACTTTCGTAATCGTCACGTGTCAATCAAGGAAACAGGAAGACTTGAATGACACCTTATCGGTTCGCCTAAATCACACACGCCAAAACCGATCAAATTCAAGGTACATTTTTGAAAAAGTGAGGCGTTCTTAACTGATCCAACTAACATAGCTAGGAAGTAGGTGCCATAGAAAAGGTAACTACAGAAAAAAACTTTGCGGCCCGACCTTTACGAGAACTCTATAACTCCGTGAACTTGCCTAATTTTCGGCAATCTCCAAGTTTGGCCGCCATTTTGAGGGACTTGTCAACATGAAGCGTAACCGATATAAATCAAGCAGGTAGATCTAAAACTGTCAGAAATACATACGAAAGCAATTCAAATGAACTTTACTTTCGATTTAAGCGGCAAAATTTGAAATTCGTTAAACTTACAATCCCCATGCGACCATTTCTTTCAACAATTCAAACACTACAACTAGTGTTCGAATTCCCCTCGTCGATTCCACCGCAAGAAATAACCTGTGCCACCCAAGCTTCGACTCGAATGTGAAATACGAATCAAGTAATATAACTGCTTCATCTTCGCGGCAATATCACGCTGGTATTTTGATTTTCCGATTGACAAGAACGGTGATCAGGAATCGATCGGTTTGTTTACCTCATGAACGTGACCGCTGACCAGCCGCTAAGTGAAAACAGCATAGCGCGGGGTGGGGTGGGTGGCGGGCTTATCGTCATAAGATATTCGAATACATGCTCAAAAAGCTCTAGGACTATCAGTCTAAACAGTGAAGGCATGCTTCGTGGTACAAACAACTTTTATTTTATTCTCATAACTTTTTCCTTTAAATTAGAACTGGTATTAATCAATAGAGTTATCAATATATTTTTAACCGGGTACCCATACAACCTTTTTGCTTGTCATCAGTGGTATAAAATAAGGTGTCTTTTCAACCAGAATCTATTATTTATGCCCCATTGCACGGAATGAACACTATACTTAGAATGTTTGCTCTAAGTAATTTTTTCTGTTCCCAAGAATGTATGCAAAGTGATAGAGATTTGATGCATTCCACTGACACGTTCTTTTAAGTTATGGCGCGTGCAGGTTTTTTCGATCAAAAGTCGTGCATGCAACACACCGGAATTGAAAATTCGTCGTAAAATCGCAGGAACCTTAGAATTAGTGTAGGCAACTTTGACTTCTGGCGAGATTAAGTGGATGGTTCAAAGGACCCCCTGAGATTTTTTTCAGGACTATGACTGAGATTTGTTAATAACTATGACAATCGTCATCATTAGCGGACGGTGCTTTTTGTCATTGTTGTCAGCTACACAGAAAAATGTTCTTTCTTTTGCTCCCCTTGGATCCTGGAAACTGTTACTATTAAGACGATCATCAAGAAAGCCTTCATAATTATTGAAACTTTTGATTAACAGAATGTAAGAAAAAATCGGTGGTGAGAGTTTTTCGCGTATCTTATAATCTGAAAAATAGTTTTAAATGAAACAAATAACACTTAATTCAATTTACCTTTGTTGTCTTAAAAGTGGCGTTTCTGGGGACCGTAGATTCTCCTCTGATTCTTCTTGTCTCAGCCAAGACTCACTATCATCAACTTTTTTCTTGTGCTTCTTACGGCATGGGACACAGAGAACTGAGATAAGCGATTGCAAATTTCTCGATTAAAGTAAAGCCCAGTAGCATCCGTCAGGAATTAAAAACCGACATGCACTGTTTACTTTAATTTTATTATTCTTAATCAAATAAGTGGTGTTTTAGTCTGCAAATTTAATCATACTGGTTAATGAGAATCATACAAACTGAGGAAAACTGACCGCAAATAATTGTGAACCGTACGCATTAATAGATATATTGCGTTGTCAGGTGATTTGATCTTCTACAAAAACATTATTGATTATCAACCGAGCAACATTGTAAATATTTCCATCTGTAATTAAAAGCACTTACACATAGATCTATTTTTTTTCAAAGTGATGTGTACTTAAGTACCCTTCATCTAATAAAGAATTTCTTCTCTTTTCGAGCAGATATGTCACGTGACAAAAATAGATAACAGAAAATGTTACTGAAGACCACCTGATTCAACTGGAATAATAACTCCAAACAGCTTTTGAATGTCCTGAGACATATGCAAGGTAATTACATCTCTGCCTTGGATACGCTACCTGACACCATCATGATCAGGATACTGACATGTTACCTTTGCATTTCTCCAAAACTTCCCCAGAGTGTGGCGATGCCTATAGCAAATCCACATTTTTTTGTTCATCCTCCCGAGCGAGGTGAAATAGGCCAATCCTTGCCAAGATTAGCTCATTTTCACTTAAAAACCTCTTTAGAAAGGTGGCAGTTTATCAAATGATGTTTTACTTCGTCATTGCATTCAGACAGTCGTACCAAACCACTAAAGCCACACGATGAACCAAAGTTTTTTCCATCTTTGCTATTCAAAAAGCAGTCCTGAAACATAATGAACGTCTCGCTAATGAACGACTTCTTCCTGTACTTGTAATTGTTTCCAACGCGACACAAGTTCGGGAGATCTAAAGGAACTCACTATAACCTTGTATATTCGATACGATTTCAATTTCCGCGTCAAAGGAGAAGCCTACTGTAATTCGTGAGTGGTCAGTGGTTACGCTCGTGAGGTAAAGAATGGGTTTGTGACTTTCTCACTCAATTGAAAGACTCGCGTCACTCTTATGAAATGGTTGAACGGAATACAGACTTCGAGCAGTTTCTTATTTTTCTTAAAGATAGTGAGGTCACGCGTATCCTGTGAGCATGGAGAAGCCGCGAGACGCGAGACGCGAGACGCGAGACGCGAGACGCGAGACGCGAGACTCGTATCTCACGTCTTTGCCGCTCCACGCTCTCAGAGTTGGGCAAAGACACGTTATTTCCGGTGCGATACAAGAGGTTCAATGGTTATCTCGAATATCTAAACACATTTATTTACGTGGTAAAGATTTGTTTTTAAATCTATGAACTGATGCTAGTCCTATATGGAACTAAATGTATTTGAAATAAAAAAGAATACGAAGTAAAACAAAGGTTGTCTGCAACAAGAAGCATGCCTTCGCATTAAGACTCAGAATCCTAATGTTTATCATGATACTTTAATGCATATGTTCGAATGTTCCCAAAAATCTTCTGATAATCTGCCCGCACCCAACCTTAACCCCGCCCCTCGCCACTGAATCGTAATGTTTTCACTCAGCAGCAGGTCAGTGGTCACGTTTATGAGGTAAACAAACCGATCGATTCTTGATCACCGTTCTTGTCGATCGGAAAATCAAAATATCAGCGTGATATTGCCGCGAAGATGAAGTAGTTATGTTATTTGATTCGTACTTCACATTCGAGTCGAGGCTTGGGTGGCACAGGTTATTTCTTGCGGTGGAATCGACGAGGGGAATTCAGAAAGTTGTCGTGTTTGAATTGTTGGAATAAATGGTCACATGGGGATGGTAAGTTTAACGAACAATTTCAAATTTTTCCGCTTGAATTGAAAGTAAAGTTCATTTGAATTGCTTTCGTATGTATTTCTGACGGTTTTAGACCTACCTGCTTGATTTATATCGGTTACTCTTCATGTTGACAAGTCCCTCAAAATGGCGGCCAAACTTGGAGATTGCCGAAAATTAGGTGAATTCACGGAGTTATAAAGTTCTCGTAAAGGTCGGGCCGCAAAGTTTTTTTCTGTAGTTACCTTTTCTATGGCACTTACTTCCTAGCTATGTTAGTTGGATCAGTTAAGAACGCCTCACTTTTTCAAAAATGTACCTTGAATTTGATCGGTTTTGGCGTGTGTGATTTAGGCGAACCGATAAGGTGTCATTCAAGTCTTCCTGTTTCCTTGATTGACACGCGATGTTTACGAAAGTCGCCTCGATAGATAAGATAGAGTTAATATACATGGCTATGGTATTTGTTTTTTGCTGAGTTCCGTAGTTTTTTGTAAATTGTCCTCCAAAGTTGTATGAAATTAAAGTCTTGAAAAGTGTCACGACAAGCCTTCGCTCGAGTGAAATTTAATTTCCGTAAAACTCTGAAAAATAAAAAGATCCGATCAAACTGATTGTGGTTTTAGTATAGGTACATGAATGTCTTACAATACACGAGAAACGAGCGAAATCCGTGTCTCAAGCAAAATCGACCGGACCGCTCTTACAGAGACACTCTCTTAATGTTCTTTCAACAAATTTCACACAGTAAATTTACTTTTGCACCAAATTAATAGTACAGTTGTGAAATACAAATCTGGAAAAATTCTCTATTCCATTAGTACAGTAATCTGGTAAAGGCATATTAGACAATACATCATCTGAAACTTAGTAGAAGAAAAGTACAAAACACGTGTGAGATTTGATTTTCTTGCATACTAATTTAATCCCTAATGTTTTTCTCGTACGCTAATTTCTAACGTTCACAAAAGCATAATTGTTATGAACTCTCTTGACACACGCTTTTCCAAGAATGTTTTTGAAGCCGTTCAAAAAACTCGCAGCACGTGTTTTATCGGGTCAAAAACCACGAGGCGTAGCCGAGTGGTTTTAAACCCGATAAAACACTCCTGCTCGTTTTTTAAACATTACGTAAACTGCTGAGTTTATACTTCCTTGCGTTGCTCAATTTTTCCGTGGGATGCCTGTGCGGTTGCCCGGCCTTTCTTTTCCATCGCTGACGCAAATCGACAAATTCTTGAAATGCTTGGAATGTTTGACATTTTCCGTATCTCTCAGCAATGAACGAGTTACCAGTAATCGGTTCCTTGTGTTAGCGCCACGTTGTTTCGACGTAATAATACTTGATTTGATGAGAGTACATCGCTTTTTCGCTGCCATTTTATTAAAAATGGATTTATGTAATGTTGATGCAAGGGAAGTGAACGTTTTTGTGTGATTAACCATGAAACATCTAATAAAATCTACCGATTATCCGCTCATCTAGCGTAGGGTTTATTGCGAAATTGACATCTTGAATATCACAAATTAATGGCCTGTTTACATGGAGGTGGGATACCCTAGGTAAGGTGAGGTTACCCGCGTATTTGGGGGGAAGGGGGGGGGGGGGAGTTGGAAACCGGCCTGTCCCTATAATCTCTTAGCTAGTCTTGATCACGTTTATATGGTAGATAAGATGACCCACCTAGGCGGGTTGCCCGGTCTGCTGGGTAGGCTAACCCTGTCAGCCGGGGTGACAGTTTGCAATGTAAACATGTCATGGTGAGGTAACCCGCCTGGTCGGGATCGCGTTCATGTTACAAAAATGAGCAAAACAATACCGAAACATACGGTGGTCCACAGAGGACATGCAATTTTTTTCTTTTTTTGTTATCGGGCGATAAATCTCATGTATCGCACGATAAAACCAAAATATCGCGCGATAAATGGGAAATTATCGTGCATTAAATGGAAATTATCCCACGAGAAATGATAAATTATCGCGCGAGAAATGGCAAAATTGTTAGGTCGCACGTTCAATTTTTAGACTTCCGCCGAAAACAGAAAAACTAAGCCATGCCACAGACTGCAACATTGTCGGAAAGGCAAAATTGCGGCTCAGTTTCATTTTTCTCTTTATTGTTGACAGGATTAAAATAGAAATAAAAGTTATGTCTCAATATTCTATCAGAAGGAAAAAAAGTCAAAAATTTTTGATTTGGCACTACTACGAAGGGCTAATGCTCGAAACATCAGCTTTACAAACTCTCCCCACTTGAGGGCATACTGCGCCATGTTTCTTACTGGTGTTTGTTTCCGACAGCTGTAGATGTCCTTGATGTCACTATTGAATACGAGTATGGGTTAGAATCGGAAAGCAAGGCGGTTATTAGAGGCAGGAATGACCATTTATGCGAAAGCCATCCAGACTTGTGCAACTTTCCTGCCGGTGGTAAGGTGTTTTGAAGCGAAAAAAATAATACAAAATGAAACTTTATGCGGATAGACCATCGGCTGTTATTTATTTACTAGCATGTCTATTTTTTCCCAGAAACTCAAGTGAAGACTATTTCTACAAAATTAACAGAACTTCCACCATTTTTGAAGGTAATCAATTAATAAATAGGTGTTCAACCAGCCATGTGTTTACAGTGCTTGAGATTGTTATAAGGTGGCTCTGCTGCGCTGTTCCTATTTTTTTGTTTGTTTGTTTGTCTCTTTGTTTGAATTTTTTTCTATCTTTATCTCTATTCAGCTTACTATTTCACCAAATAGGTGAGCTTTTATATCCAACAACCATTGCTCCCGTATCCATATTTACAGTGATTTTCTGCAAATGATGGTGATAATGATGATGATTTTCATCAATGCTCATGTCATAGTGGTCGTTGCTTCCACAGAGAAGCAAGACAGAGTAATCTATGTGTTTACGTTAAAGAAATTCTACTTCTGTTTTCATTCCTTAAACCATTAGATGCTGACTGTTAAAGCAAGAAATCAATTTTTCAATGAAGAGTATATCATGTTTCTCTGTTTTGATGCGGTGTTCAAAGTGTACTAAAAGGCAAGAATGAGTAGCTGACTCACGAGGAGGAGGACAAATTAAAGAAATAGATTAGACAGTAGGATGGAAACATTTTTGTGTTAAAACTGCGAAATGTCTCTGATAACAACGACTTTATGATATTGATTAAGAGAATTGTCAACAATTAACCTACCTAGGGGAGTATAAACTGGAAATCAGTTACACCCCACCCTTAAAGAACGAGTTCGAATAGATAAGAGGGAGTAATATATCACTTCAAAATAGAATCGAACTGACGACCTGTTTACAAAGTGAGTCACTTAGATATTTGGTAATCAAAAAAGTCATCTTGGAACAAAAAATACTGTAAGACAAGGTCTCAGAGTCCAAACTTAATGAACAATACTAATAAATTGAATACTTATCAGGTACATTAGTGATCGATGTTTTACTGTTACTACGTCAGCTTGTGTCAACCTCCAAGTTAGTACAAAAGGGAGGTGGACAACTCATAGGAAAGAAAAGGGGGGGGGGTGGGGTGGGTTGGTTAGTTTACTAACAACTGTTACAAAACGGCTGAAAGTAGGCAGTGAGAGATTTGATCTCTTAGGGGCTGGTAAGAAAAGGGATACTGGGGACAAAGTTGGTTTGAGTCCGCTGTGACTACGAAATGAGCCAGCCTTCAATATAAAACAAGAATCAAAAACGGGTTGCAGTCAGGAGAGAGGAACAGTTCGCGCGAATAAAAGAAAAAAAAAGCAAAGTTGTCTACCATTTGAAATAGAAATATAGAATAGATATTCCAAGAGTGCGAAAGAAGCGGACCTAAGCTTTTAGACTCTTAAAAAGCATATTACACACGGTGCTTTCTTCAAAGTCCGAGAGATCAAGCAAAGGTATATGGTTGGACTTGAGACGTTCTCAGCGTAACTCCTTGATTGACGATCACTGGGCAATATAATGTTCTATGATGAAATAAGTCCACAATAAGGGACAATCGAAGTGCTCTGTGAGCAAACTCGTGAATTGACAGATGACTTACATGATTTTTGGATTATATTTAATGTTGCTTAGGGTTAGGGTTTGGGAATTTTATGGTTGATTGTCATATTTAGAGTAGGAGCAGTAGTTCAGTGTTCGCTAATGTAGCAAAGAAACAAAATAACGTTGGGATGAGAAGGCATTACAATTGAAATGATAATGCTATTGCATTTGACAAGGGTGGATGATGTCATTTGTTTTAACCAATATCATTATTGTTTCTGGTTCAGCTGAAATGGTTGGAAGTAAATGTGGGTGAAAAGTGAAATTTACTGTCTATCATGTAAATTTCGGAAAATCAAGGCGATACTGTCTTAATGAAAGCATTAATGTTTCCGTCTTTATCAAATGAGACAAACGGGAACGACTTTTGAGTGATATTACTAAGCCCAGACTGCTACCGTCACTTTGGAATTCCGTCTGGGTAGATTTTGGTCACGTGCTAGGCAACGTATAATCAAGAACAAGACAGAATTTCATTTCAGGCCTATTTATCAATTTTGTGGTGTATAAATTTCGCATTTTAGTACGTAATGTTTATTTTGAATCTTCAAATTGTCTTGAAACTTAAAAGAAAATTGTTCTTTTAAAAATTCACTGCAAATCGGTAGCCAAAATTATTTGTTTAGGTGTTGTTTGATTTTCGTGTTAACTTGTAATTTCGTTAGTCGCTGGCACCTTTTGTTGCTTCATACAGGAAAAACACACGATAAGAAATGAAATGATCGATTTTGTCCCCAAGCTCACGCCATAACAGAAAAAGCCTTTGAACACCTGTAAACTTCGAGCGCTTCGGAATAAGAGATATTTTTAATGCATCTTCGGATTGTTTTCAAGTTCAAGGTTTGTAAATTACAATTTTATGGAAAACGAAGGTTGTTCTCTTATTTCAGTGTGAATCCTTGCACGCCTGCCAGTCGCTGGCGCCGCTTGTTTAAAAAAAAAAAAAAAAAAAAAAACCCTTTTAAGATTATCATTGGCTTCTTTTTCGCCCCACCACTACTCTTGGCAACAAAGGTCGCCATTCATTTTGTCTGTTTATTACTCACCAAAAACTGTTAAATGCACTCAAAAGCCCAAAATCGAAAAAACGTTTACAGGAATCGACCAATCGAGCGGGCGAGCGAGTACCATTCTCCACATCATATCTACAACTCACCCTTGCGCATGCGCGCAATTCACGAGTTAAAAAGGTAACAACCATGAGCCGCCACTTTTTTTAAACTTTTACAAACTGCATTCCTCACTCATTGCATTTCACCTCCTTCCCCCAAAAGAGGGCTGAACCTCTAATCGCTTATACTTATCTTTTGCGTACAGAAGATCAAATAGGGGAAGGGGGAAGGGGGAAGGGGGGAGGGGGTGGGGGGTTGCTTAAATTAAGGAAATGTATGAGAAGACAGATACCGTAAGAGTAAAAGGTGAATTTATTTTCATAGTGGCAGTTTAAATTAGATATCCTTACTTCTTCAATCGCCGGCCTATCGTATATCATATACCAGACTTACGCTTGTTATCCTATGTTCTACTTAAATATGTCCCTGACGTTCTCCTTAAGCGATTGAGTAGCTAAATGATTAACTAATTTCGTTTTTCGTCACATTGATGATGAAATTATTTTTTATGAGAGATGTAACGATAGCTTCTACAAGAAAATACTTTTTCTCCTCCACTATGCCTTCGCGTTTCTCCTCATCTTTGACTTGGTCGTTATCCCTTGTTCGACTCAGTCTAGTGTCCCTTAGCCACGAAATCAAGACAAAGAAACATAATACCATCCTGGTTAAAATATTGCAGTCTTCCATTAAAGGTCAGCATCTGGCAATTCAAGAAAAAAAAAAAGGAGTGTGCCTTTTAATCGGGCGCGTATATTTATTTAACCTGTTTCTCGTTTCTTAACACTATGACTTACGCAAATCAACCAGAACTTAATCTAATGCTCATTAGTGCCAAGAAAAAGTTAACAACTATTGAATGGCCAGAAAACAAGTAATGCGATAAAAACAGAAAAAATAAATGTGAATAGAAGCTAAGGATTATAATAAGGAGACTTGAAACTCGCCCATGTCACTAAATCTATTACCTTGAAAAATGGTGGAATTGCTGCCAATTTATCTGAGTAAGTGAACACGTGAGTCTCTAAAAGAAAGGAAACAAGTAGATCAGGAAAGGGTACAGAAAAACAGGAGGAAATAATAGTTATTAGCATCAGCAATAAAGCAACTTCAACAACAATTATAACAGCTGGTAAATTTGTCTAATCAAATTCTATTGCGCGAGCGTGCTTCATATTCCTATTGTTCACGCTCAGATGTCAGCAAACAAATCCGTCGAGAAAAAGATTTTCCATCGGGTTGAAAATGTTATAAAACAATTGCTTCATACGTCAGCTGTGCGTTCATCGAGATATGAAGCACTTGGGAAACTTGGAGAGCACGAAAGAAGCAAGAGTTGCTCTCGGCTACGCCTCGAGCAACTCTTACGCATCTTTCGTGCTCTCCAAACTTCCCACGAGCTTCATATCTCGATGAAAGCACGCTGACGTATGAACCAATTGTTAACAGCAAGATAGCGTCGAAATAAATCATCAGCTCAAAATATATGCTTTTTTCTGAATTTTTCAGATGTTCCTTTGGAGAAAAACAGTAAGTGGTTTGATTGACACGAAATCCATCCTGGGGTTTTATGATATAACGTAACGATTTGGCTAGGATATATATCTAAATGTTCAAATTTCACGAATCGTGAAAAGCCGTGCCTATCACAGCAGCAAGCCACCATTAGGAAACAGTAATGGCCTAAATATTTTCAAGATGCAGATAGATCTAAAGGGAAAGCCTTTATTTTAGTATTACAGTCCTTATTTGAATGGAGGAAAGGAAAAACCTGTGCAGAGTGCAGAGCTGCATATCGACCACAGGAAGCCGTTACGCATGTCTACATTAAAACGACTGGCGTGTTTGAACTGACTGTGTCCAAGAGCTTCTACTGTCATCGGCGTTCTTGTAATTGGACGTTTTTAGTTTGGATGATTTGTCAAAACGTTTTAAAGAGTATGCGTTTTCAAAAGAAAACGAAGGGATGGGAGATCAGATTTGGCAAATTAAAAGATCAGAGCATGAACTGTTGAAGTTTCAGTATTCTGTTCCTGTATAAGAAGATTCTAGACTCGAATAGAACAGAAGGTCGACGCATAGACAGATCAGTCAAACTTACTTGATCTGCCACTGCATTAACAACTTTATCAATTTTGAACCGCGCATTACATTTTCATTCTGATCATTCATATACCCTACTTACCGTCTGCAGGTAAGCTGCATAACTCTTTGAAATCTGCTTTTTCGCAAACATTTTCCCTCCCCTTGAAGGTAAACTTTCCGTCCGATTCTGACTTTACTATGTATTTCGAGTACGCGTCAAGGACATCAACAGCTGAAGGAAACAAAAGCATTAGCTATTGATAAGGTACTGTCGATGCTCACGTGGCGAGGAGTTGAAAGGGAAGCAGCTTTTATGCTAAAATTGTACCATTGCGATTATTGTGCCCTATTTCCTGAAACAAGTCTGAATTTAAATGGCAAATTCTTCTTTAGACTTTCTACTGTTAGTTCCCAGTTTTAAAGGTGCATCAACACTTTTCCCATCATTATGTATATGAATTCCCTTTCCTTTAGCTCAGCTTTCTTTTTTTTTTTTTTCCCCTTTGTTACATAGTATTGTGCCAATTTTTTTTATTCACACTCTAGAGAAACCCTTAGAGCCTCATTAAAAAATACAATTTAAAATACTATGTTATAATAAATTGAGAGCGAGGGTCGGATGGGAAAATATTCGGCTCGACGTCATGACTTACAGACTGACCGCTGAGGATCGAAAATTTGGAAAATTTCTTTTCAACCAAAATAGGACGTGATAGACGAGCGCACGCGGGACAACCACAAATAAATTCTACAATGAAAAAAAATTCCTTTATTCTTTTGAATTAGAACAAGACACTCATAATTAATGGAAAAACGCGACTTTTGAAACTCTTAAACCTTTGCATCTGAACTCGCGGACAGTAAACGACATTGCCCTAAATCTTTAGAGTACATTCACTTTGCAAGTATCTTTTTTTTATATAAATATTATTTTTATTAAACATCTAGATGAAAATCCACTTAGTTTGTCGCTACAATTTTCTTGAAGCAAAAACATACCAACTTTTCATTCTCAGCGAGCACTTTAGGGAATTCTAGTCGAGAATTACTGAAGCTCTTTTATTATAACTGCGCAGCGAAAAATAAAGGCTTAAGACGGAGCAACCAGTTAGCTAAACTGCGTTTTAAAAGAAAGATTTGATCATGCTAAAATAATGAAATATTTGTCGTTGTTTTTTGACGTTCAAAGTGTCCTCTTGGTTTTCTCCAAACCAAATGCCTTTAAAAAATTACATTCTGGGATTTCGCCCAGTAAGGCGCCATTTGATAAAGGGGAAAGATGTTTCACTTTCTATGAGTTTACAGGTAAATATACAATAGATTTCTGACCAATCAGAGCACGCCTAATGTCTAAATCTGTCGAAATCATGTTATAATTCTCTTTAGTTCTGTAATCAACTTACCGGGGGTTAGTGTTACACTTATCGTGGCGAAAGTTCCAGTCGCTATAAAAGGCCATGGAGATATTTTGATTTTTGCTGTATGGTCATGAAAGCCTGTCGACAAATCGAAAATTTCACTGAGAGAGTGTCACTAGTGTGTTCCAGACCATCTTAAAAAGGCTGGTAAACTCGTCAGAAAATCATGATCATAAAAAGTTTCTAGACTCGTTAAAATATAATGACCAGGGGATTGTCTTTGCTGAAGAACCAAAAATGATTCCCACATTGAAGCTTTGAATAAACGCATGAATTTGATTCTATCTTTTATATCTTAGATGACTGACGGATAAATGATGCAACACAACAAAAACGTAGGAAAGGAGAGACAAACAATAGCTCAATAGCTTCCCCTTTTTGTAACGGTTTTGTTCGTCTGATTGTTGAAGTTTACCAATGGACTGCTTCTGGGTGGAGAGATTTATTTATTGCGTCACAATGAAATCTGCCTTATCTCCCTCTAAAGCTCTGTCAATAATCTCTAGCCCCCCCCCCCCCCCCACCCCATATTTATTCCCTTTCAGCGACGACTGATCCCCCCACATTAGGTGTTGAATAACAACTGGTCGCCACTGCTGCAAGCTACGACTTCGGTATGTATTTGCTATATATTTGGTTTATCTATTTATCGTTTTCATGCGCATGTCACAGTAATACTTTTTGAACCCACTCCAGACTTTGATACCTTATTGCACCTAGTCGACTCCGAATGCGTACCGCCGACCACCCTTTCCTATCCTGTTTTAATAACAGGAAAATGTTCAGAGTTCACTGAAACAGTTTCAATAAAAATGAAATGAAACAACTAACCATCACAGATCGACGCATTTTTAAATTCTATTCCCGAGGGATATCCTGCTCCTCCACCGATAACGAAAAGAAACAAGTTCAAGGAGATAGTTCGCCACTGCTGATTGGCTGAAATCATCATTTTCTTCGTATCCAAGAAGTGGATAGCAATATCTGTGGAGAATAGTTAATTTTAATGTACGACGCAACAAATCTTTCTGATGAAAATAAAAAACCTACACCTATTATTCCTAGCAACCTTGTAAATTAAGAAGCATGTAAAACAAGTACGTTAGTAAAAGCTGAGTAAATTTTCCGAGTGTTATACGTATTTGTAGGAAGACAAGTTAATTTTTATTAAAGTTAATCCTTCGATACTACTGAGATAAAATCGATGGATAGAAAGTTGTCCATAAGGGACCTACAAAAAGTTTTAATGTAATGAAAACTAACATCTTCTTGATATAAATATCTACAACCCTCTTCATAAAGTAGGTTTATCTATAAATTCAGAAACTGTGATCTATCTTTGCAGTGGACCGTTTCCTGAATAAACGAAAATTGAAGTATACTAACTCCTCTCATAGAAATGGAGACGAAAGTTATCAATCTTCGTGCCGGGAAATGAATGATCACTTTGGTAAAACTATTGACAAAATATGTTCAAGCATAACCGATGGAATTAGTAAGATCACCTGAAAATTGACTATGCATATCTGGCAGCGTTTTTGCGAGATATATTTGTCTTTTTGTTTATCAAATGATAGAACATATTTCTTTTCAGGAAGGAACATAAGAAAGAAATGTATTGTGAGTCGAAAGTCGTGGTACATTATGTTAGACTTAGCTCAAAATCCAGTCTATTCCGTTTTCTTTCCTGATATTTTCAATTTTGACTTTCCCTGAATCATTCATATCTCGACCTCAAATAAAAACATGACGAACTCATATAGGTTTACGGACTTTTAATTTCTTTGACTCTCCAGACACGGGCCGCTATGTTTATCTCCCGCGCCCGCCTCTAAGTACAATGAAGAACTCTTAAATCCCTCGTGCATCGACGCTTTCTTCAGTTGAAATTCCGTTGAATTGAAAGATCACTTACCTTGTTATTCAGGTGTTGTTCAACGAGCCTTTGTCGATCTTTTGTCGTAATCAAGATTTGTGAAATTAACTACAATTTAACAATAGTTCCAAACCTATCAATATTTTTCAATCATTATGTAAAAAAGCAAACCGGAAGCGAAAGTAAGAAAGATTAGCTCATGAACCAAACGGGAAACAACCTCTTCAAATAACTGTTCGTTCAGCAGTTTATTAGGAACAATGCTAATTGGGCGTTAAAAGAAAAAGATGCTCTTCCATATTAGTTTAAATGTTTGTAAAAAAGCTTTTTTTCGTTTTGTTTATTTCATACGGCCAAGGGTACGTACGGGACGTGCTCTTGTGGAATATATGTGCGGTGCGTAAAAAATTGAATGCAAAAAGTGTTTGAAATCATGCTTGAAAATCATCGTGATCCAAAGCAGTACAAACGAAAGTAGAAAGATTAGCTCATGAACCAAACAGGAAGCAACCTCTTAAAATAACTGCTCGTTCAGCAGTTTATTGGGAACAATGCTAATTGGGCGTTAAAAGATGCAAAAGATGCACTTGATGCAATTTTCCGCTTTGTAAACGAATTACATGCAAATGAGAATGAGGTCGGACACGACACGTTTATTGTCACCTATTTATTCATTCTTGCTTGACAACTTGAGTTTATTTGGACGTTTCAAACTTGGTTTTGCTCTCGAAATAGAAGATCGCGTGTAATATATTAACATGAACAATCCTAAGTGTCGAAACAACCTTTCTGTTCCGCTCTGCGTGCGTCTATGTCGACATTTGTCATTGCTTCACGGAACATGACAAAGCGTACTTCTTAGGCATTTCGGTTTCTTTAATTTATGAAAATGAAAAACACTGACGTCGACACTTCGGGACGATACTTGAACTGTCGATGGTGTTTAATCAAATATGAATGTATCTGATATAAATGTATCGTCTTCACATAGCTATGTTTTGTTCATGTCCTATTTTATATCAGTTAGAAATACTCCCTCGCAGGTAAGTCACAAATTCATTAGACCCTCCTTCAATATTCAATATCTTTATGGTGCATTAGTGCGAAAAAAGTATGTAAATCTTTACTTTCGATCCTTTCTCTAAAGGAAAATACGTCACAATTTTGAAATGCAGGGCGGTTCTAAATTTAAAACTTCCCATTAACTTGATGAAGCTCAATAAACTCAGCCGATTTCATTCAATCGACACTTCGGGACGATACTTGAACTGTCGATGGTGTTTAATCAAATATGAATGTATCTGATATAAATGTATCGTCTTCACATAGCTATGTTTTGTTCATGTCCTATTTTATATCAGTTAGAAATACTCCCTCGCAGGTAAGTCACAAATTCATTAGACCCTCCTTCAATATTCAATATCTTTATGGTGCATTAGTGCGAAAAAAGTATGTAAATCTTTACTTTCGATCCTTTCTCTAAAGGAAAATACGTCACAATTTTGAAATGCAGGGCGGTTCTAAATTTAAAACTTCCCATTAACTTGATGAAGCTCAATAAACTCAGCCGATTTCATTCAATTCAGCGTTAGACATCGAGTTGATAACATCTTTTCGCTATTCAAAGAAGTCCGTTGTTGACTCACTTACCCGTGAAGAACATTCAGGTGAGTCTCTTGATGCATAACATGTTTATCTATCAGACATAGTTTGATGCTACTCTGGTTTGCAGATTTAATGAATGTAACTGAAAAAGTTACAATTCATAGACCAAACGTTTCGACACTCCTGTCTAGTGCCTTCATCAGGGGTGATCTAAATGCTGCAACAAGAGGTCCTTTTATATGATCACTAATTAGCGGCCTTTTTCTGACGAGGTGTAAATAGGCGTCAGGAAGCAAACCGCCATCGTCACGATTTAAAGGAGCTTGGGCGGAGTTAATATGCCAAGCCTCCAAACAAAGGCGCTGGTGGTAACGCCGATTAGTGGTGATAATTTTAGAATTATTCCACCCAATTGTATGGTTGGTTAGGCATGTAGGCTCTGATAAAGCTGAATTTTCCTTTTTGCAATGAAAAAATCGCTTTTTGGTGCTCTTTTAACCGTGTTCCACAATGACGTTTGGTCTGTCCGATGTATTCGTTGTCACAGTCATTGCAAGGAATAGAATAAATGGCGTCGGTTCGTTATGTGCATACATCTCAACTTGAGGCTGGTTCAATGGATTTTTAAATAAGTAGAGAGGCTCTTTTTCTTACGCGGATGGAGAAGCATCATTATGAATTGGCAGAGCGATCTGTTCAAGACAACTCTTTCTACAGTGACCCAAATTTCAAAATAGATCATTACAGAAAGCTGTATCGAAAAGCACAGGTTTCTTTCTAGAAGCATTGAAGATCATCAAAATTGAAAACATACTGACCGGCAAACACTCTTTGTGATCTTTCTAGTAAGCTTTGTTACTTTCTTTAAATCCGCGACGGTGTTTGAATCATTAGTGTAGTTATTTAAAAATCAAGTTTTTTTTTTATCCCAGCAGATTACTATGGACTCAGTAGTGATGTTTATTGGCCTGATACAAGTTATATTGGTCTTGTGGATTGTAACACCTTGCGAGAGTGATGTTTGCAGCCAAAAAATCTGTCAATGTACCAATTTCGGTAGGACCCGCATGGTAGTTAAATGCCAAGTTCATGGATACATTCCGACTGGAATCCCAAGCAATACAATTGAACTGTAAGTGATTAAAAAAACTAAACCTTTCTTTAAAAAAGGAACTGAGTCATGGTTTGAGCTAGGTTTGCTATTTGAAAGCAATGTTTGGTTTATCTGCTGAATTAAAAAAAAAAAAAAAAGCACATTTAAAAATTTACCAGGCAATAACACCCATCTGAAACCTTTGTTTAGTTTTCTAAAATATGTTTTTCTTAACTTTTTAGCGTAGCTTCGTGCTTTTAAAATAATAAAAGTGTTGCAACTAATTTTATTGTCAATTTCTTCATTAGGAAACTTTCGAGTTGTTCTTTGAAGTCGATTTCAGAAGACTCCTTCAGGAACCTAACTGTTTTAAAAGTACTGTAAGTAAATAATTTTAAAGTATGGGATAGATTCAGTTTAAAATTAATAGGCAAGTATATTTATTGTTATTGTTATCATAATTATCACTATCATCGTTGCTATTATTATTTTAAGCTTTTGTGAAATTTAATAACCATTAGACATGTATTAAAGGGATTAACCAAATAGTGTAAGCTTCGCTGTTAGTATTACAGATCCTTGCGCGGTGATATATTTGCAGTAACGTTTATAATATGTATGCCTACCTGTAATAGAAATTTGACGACAAGGTTGCCTTAAAAGAACTTAAGAACAAGTCTCTGTAAGAATCAAACATCTTGGGAAGTGAAAATTTTCAACCCTCCTTCAAATTTTGCATGCAGTTAGGCGCTCAGGGGGATGAACAAAAATGCTCTTTTTAAAGGGCGCAGCACTCTTGTAGCCATGGTAACAACGGCTGCTTGTTCGAAGCCTGGGGCCTCATTTTCATACAAAAACGTCGCAAAAAGAGAGTGAAATGTTTATTTCTCTATCTCAAGCTAAATACAACATTACAAATTGGCACTTCTACCATACATAGTAACATCATTCATCTTCACATTGATACAGTCAATTCTCCCTGGGAGGGAAGTTGAACACACTAACAGATTATTCATTTCGGTACAGTTCCGGTCATCTTTGTCGTCGGGCAAAACAGGGAAAACGTTTATCTGAATTTCTCCAAAAGTACACCGATTCTGGAACTGAAACTAGCCACATAGCTGGTTATAATATTCTAGTTTTTAAAAATGTTAAAATCTTTGCGGGCCTGCCTTTACTTTCCATAGGAGCAATTCGCGAACGAAGCTCAAAAATCAGATATTGCATAATTTGGCGATGTTTACATCGAATGTTCTCGACAACAAATGTTTTAGAAAAATGAAACATCTAAAGCTTTGAAAGGATGTCATCTTATGAAAAATATCCCGAAGAGAAATCTCGCCTCTGCTTGTCATCTTTTAAAAAAAAATTGATCAACCTTCATGGAGGACTACTCGACGTAACTACAAACATATACCTCAAATCGTGTGCATATCATCCCGATTCCGAGTGCTGCACCTTCTTTCATGGGAATTTGAGCGATCTGAAGTCCTCTGAAGATACACTGTTATACTTGTATGTCATTTGAAACATGTTGAAGTCGGCTGATCTACATGAAACTATCCTCACACTGGTCATTTGTCATAAACATGTACGTTGTCACGATGGCGTGACGCTGTATTTCCCTTGAAGTTTTCATCGGTCGTCCCAAAGAAGACGGGAAATGGACATTTTTCGGTATATCAGCAGATTTCCGCGCATTCTAAGTAAAAACAACCAAAAAAGAAAGAAAAAACCCTCGATTGAACGCTCGTAAACACTGAGAATATGAAAGCAGAAATTGCAACTTGTCAGCGGCAGTACTACATGTAAAACCCAGTCGCCAATAATAGCAATTTGTACGACTCGCGCGAAAATCATCACAAAGTGGAGATTTTGAACTACTCAGTATCCTTGCAGTACAGCAAATGGAACAGGGATTTCATCACAACCAATCTCCAGAAATTTTGCTTTTTTTCAGGGAGTCTTTCTCGTGCTCGAACGTTATATTGGCTTTGAACCTTGAGATTTATTTCCCTTGACAATAAAATGCTACAGGAAGTGCTTACAAAATTACAAAGGAACTATTTTTGTTGTCGCTTGGACCGAGAAATACATGTTTGAAATAATTAATGCTGTCACTGATGAACCAAAGGGCTTAATCTTCTCAGTTATTAGATTGATAATCTCCACAGACTAACGTTAGTGGACCGAACGCTCTCCTGTTTCTTCCTGGTGAGCCGGCCACCTCAGGGGAAAATTAGAGAGACCTTTGTCTTCCTCTCGTGTAAATCACTGGGAGATTGCGCTATATTCATCTTTCTGTAAGCTTGTAAAAGATATCCGGGAGAAAAGTATGGAAAATAATGGTGATGAAATTACTGTTCTTTTTCCTGAAGGTCCTGAAGCAATCCAGATTACATATTAACCATGGGGAGTTTCGTTCAAGTTACGAGTTGCGATTTACGTGTGGATAATAAGTTGTTTGAAAGGTGGAATTATGACATTATGATTTCATTTAATCTTTCATTTCGAACTTTGTTATGATATTTTCTCTAACAAGACATAGAAGGAAACATTGATTGACTCGATTGCACTGCGGCGGTGATAAGTCTCTCCTCATCATATCTTATGCAAATTTTCTAACAGTTTTCTGACAGTTTTCAGATGATTCGAATTATCTTAGTTCCTGTCACAAGGAAATGATAACTGCCCGAATATGCTCTTTGTAGGGAGATGCCCATGTCGTTCATTTGCTATTGTTACAACTGGGTTTTACATGTAGTACTGCCGCTGACAGGTTACGATTGATACTCTCAGATTCTCAGTGTTTACGAGCGTTCAATCGGGGTTTTCCTCTTTCTTTTTTCGGTTGTTTTTACTTCAGAGTGCCCGGAAATCTGCTGACATATACGAAAAATACCAATTTCTCGTCTTTTTTGGAGCGACCGATAGAAACTTCAGGGAGAAATACAGTGTCACGCCATCGTGATAACGTACATGTTTATGACAAATGACCGGTGTGAGGATAATTTCATGTAGATCAGCCGACTTAACATGTTTCAAATGACATACAAGTATAACAGTGTATCTTCGGAGGACTTCAGATCGCTCAAATTCCCATGAAAGAAGGTGCAGCACTCGGAATCTGGATGATATGCACACGATTTGAGGTATATGTTTGTAGTTACGTCGAGTAGTCTTCCATGAAGGTTGATCAATTTTATTTTAAAAGATGACAAGCAGAGGCGAGATTTCTCTTCGGGATATTGCTCATAAGATGACATTCTTTCAAAGCTTTAGATATTTCATTTTTCTAAAACATTTGTTGTCGAGAACATTCGATGTAAACATCGCCAAATTATGCAATATCTGATTTTTGAGCTTCGTTCGCGAATTGCTCCTATGGAAAGTAAAGGCAGGCCCGCAAAGATTTTAACATTTTTAAAAACTAGAATATTATAACCAGCTATGTGGCTAGTTTCAGTTCCAGAATCGGTGTACTTTTGGAGAAATTCAGATAAACGTTTTCCCTGTTTTGCCCGACAACAAAGATGACCGGAACTGTGCCGAAATGAATAATCTGTTAGTGTGTTCAACTTCCCTCCCAGGGAAAATTGACTGTATCAATGTGAAGATGAATGATGTTACTATGTATGGTAGAAGTGCCAATTTGTAATGTTGTATTTAGCTTGAGATAGAGAAATAAACATTTCACTCTCTTTTTGCGACGTTTTTGTATGAAAATGAGGCCCCAAGCTTCGAACAAGCAGCCGTTATTACCATGGCAACAAGAGTGCTGCGCCCTTTAAAAAGAGCATTTTTGTGCATCCCCCTGAGTGCCTAACTGCATACAAAATTTGAAGGGGAGTTGAAAATTTTTATTTCCCAAGATGTTTGATTCTTACAGAGACTTGTTCTTAAAACCCGAATAAATCTTCTAGCGGAAACAAACAGTCATTTGATTACTGGGGCGCTGCTTGGAATTTCAAAAACAATGAAAATTTCTCAAAACACTTAGTCTGAAGTCAGAAATGAGAATTCTAAAAGCAGAGTTTAGAAGATGACCAGAAATTAGCATTCCGATACCTACCACAAAAAAAAAAAAAGAAAATAGGGATTTTTTTTATGGAGAGACTATCAGAGTTTTAGCACTATGAGATTTTACTGATTATCTGTAAGCTTCTTGAAAAAAACAAAACAAAACAAAACAAAGCTATATTAACCTATCTGAATGAAGAATTTTTTATCATTTACTTTCATGTACAAATGTTCAAATGGAGTGCAGTGAATCCAAGCAAATTTTGCATGTATTTTAATTCGGCAAGCTTTGATTAATAATTGTAATAATTTTTTTCATTCTAGTGACTTGTCGAATAACTTATTAAGACGCATTCCCCACAACACTTTCAGGAATATGGATAAGCTGGAAATAGTGTAAGAATGCGTTTTCTTATAATGAATGAGTAGGTTGATATGTTTGTCCGTTTAAAAGCATTTTCTGTCCACAAATTTTTCAGCTCCTGTGTTTTCACTAATCCCAATCCCTCTAATTTATAATTGTGAATCTATTTACTGCTTCAAAATCTTAAGCTTAAAGTAACTAAATATATAAATTTTAGATTAACGATGTGATATGCAATTTCTGAGCTTCATATTTTTGGAACTTACAATTGTTTCCCTAGAAATCTTGCCGACAACCTAATTTCAGGGAGTTTCTTCCTTCCGGAAAGTGTATCTCAGCTGTGAGTTTTGCTAATGATGTATTTTTGAAAAGATAGAATAAACATATTAAAATTCGCCACTGATTTTTATCCTTATATTAAATTGTAGCTTTTTCGTCAGATCGCCCTTTTTTCTTTATATCGCAAGCAAACACAGAAGACCTTCGATAAATGTAATGCAAGCAAATATGAATTTCCTCTTTTTCTCTACAAAAAAAGATCGTCAGGTCTGCAAGTTAAGCTGTTAGTTAATGTGAAGCAATCACAATAAAAGTATATGGAGAGAAAATTTACGGTGTTTGCTGGCTTATGTCTCTTACCTAATGGACGTTTTTCAAAATGTTTTAAAACTTAGTAAATTCATTAAAAGTCAATGTTAAAAATTTACTTGCATAGCGTTATCAAACACAACTTTCTATCAAGTAATGACGCAAAAGTCATTCTCAAAGGATTAAAACGGCTTCGAAAACTGTAAGTATGACCTTTTATCCTGTTCCACATGCTTAGAGAATCAATAGGATATGTCATACAAGTAAAAGGAAAAAAAAAAGACAAATATGAAAGAAATAAGGAAGTTATGGAAGTATGGACCTATAAGCCTAGTCCACGATCCAGTTCTCGTTAACTCATTGCCAGCGAATCGGAGCGGGGATCCGAAAGTATTGGTTTAAATACTTAATGAAAAATTCATTTTTTCCCTATAGTTACACGCTCGTGATGAAAATAATAACTGCTTTCTCTGTTTCTAAGTTCAAGCTCAAAACTTACCATGTTTCTTCCATAACCATCGCAATTTCTTAACTATCAATATCTTTTTTTATTATATATATCTATCACAGTTACTCATCTTGAATACTTAGTTCCTGTCTATACACCAAACGGTCAAACGTTATCTAACAAGGATATCCTGCTCATTGTGCACTTTTACAGAAATATTGATTCAAATCCACTTGGACCTAATTTGCCATCCGACTTCTTCTCTGGCTTTAATAAGATGGATCTTCTGTAAGTTAGTAGCTCTAGAAAATTCTCCAATGATTTCGAAACTTGTAACAAAAACGCCGTGTGCGAACGTGATCAGTCACGTGCATGCTTGACTTCTCTCTCACTATTCCTTTTAGATAACGTCCCTTGTTTTACATGGTTTAAACGTTTTTGCCCAGCTTTTAGCTCCCGGATGTTTTTTATTTAGCCAACTGATTTGTGCTCCTTTGGGTCGATTCGGCTTTTTCTTTTTCGACAAAGTGGCCATACCAATAACTACGCCTGAAATTCAATGATTATTCGTTTTAAAGTGTCTGCTATCACCAGACATGTTCCGTGCGAGTTACAATCAATTTGATAAAGCTGGATCAACATAGAAAGTTACGTTATTTTCTTGCGGGTTCAATTTTACAAAGAGTGACAACAACAAACTTTAGATGAAATATATGTTTTTCACCTCTTTAGAGGTTGGCTGCCATCCTGTACACAAAGTTGTTTTAAACTACCAGTTCAATAAATTCTAAAAACTCGAAGTTCCCCCTCGCGATCCAGCTCTTTCAATAAAACTCTTGACTATTGAGATATGACTTAAGAATGTTATTTGTACTTTGGCTGAAAAAACAAAACAGAAAAACAAAAAAGCATTGGAAGTGGCAGAGAATTCATTAGTGATAGACTTGTCTCATGAATCCGCTGTCAGAACTTTCCACACTTACATTGTTTGGCAGTTTCCCCTACTCTTTCCTTCACTTCAAACTATTTCTCGACTTTTTTTCACAGTTCCATGCGTGGGTGCCACCTTGAAGATATTGAAAATGGAACATTTAAAGCCATGCAAAATCTTACAGAACTGTGAGTAAATTTTTCTTAGATATTATTATTGATTTTTCAGATGTCCAAGGGATCGTCTCTGCGCGATATGCATCGTGAGAAAAGCGGTCTTAAAGTTATATGTACACAATTAACTAGATCAAGAAGTTGTGTGTTATGTTCTGTTATGCAAACACTTTTCTTGACGTTTGACTTAGGCAGTCTTAGCAGGTTTATTTTGCCGAAACTTTTCTAATCCCGACCATCCACAAGTCATTATACATTTGTCCGTTTTTAGTGATCTGTCCTTCAATAAGCTGACTCATATACACAAGGGTACAGTGGAAGGACTTACGGATCAGCTCACAAATCTGTAAGTAAATCGTCGCTAAGGAACACCGTTCTTTGCATAATAATAACAACTTACTGAAAAGAACTTTTCAAGAGACCTCGATCGTTTCTATGGACAGTGGTCTAAACCACGGATAGCACTTCTGGTACCCGCCTCATTTATTTCACATTTGAATAGATAGGCTGATTAACTTTCATATGCATCTATGCAAAGCAGAAGCAATACGACCCTTCTTCCCCCCTACCCCCTCGCCTCCACAGAAAAAAAAAAAAAAGAGGAAAAAAAGAATGATTTTGACTCTTCTAACAACTGATAGGTTCCTTCACGGAAACGAATTAGAGACCATAGGTGATGGAACATTTAAACAGTTTAAAGTTCTCGATAGCTGGTAAGTGATACACCAAGTGCAAGATAAACAGATACTGTAAACCTGAAATACTTATATCTATACCAAGAGGATATGAAAAAATTTTTTTTTACGGCCATGTGGCGCTAAAGGCATCTCGCCCGAAGTCATGTTGCCCTAAATCCTGAGTCATGTCGCCCAGTTTTTTTTCAATCACAAGTAAAGTATAGTAGTATAGTATAGTATAATCTTTATTTAAGCACGAAACAATTCATCAGCAATTACATTAACTAAAACTATTTAAAAATTAAAACACTAACTAATAACTAAAAGCTGTTTTCCGTGAATGCAGTGCGTTATAGAGTGGCATTGATCTTGCGTTTAAATAACCCCAGAGACTCTGTGTTCCTTATATCACATGGAAGACTATTCCATGATGTGGCTCCACTATAGCTAAAGCTTTTTCGATAATAGTTAGTGCGAGGTAGAGGAACATTGAGTTTATTTTCAGAGTCCCTGAGGTCATAAGCAGAGTTACGCCATCTAAACTTAGAATTAAGATATTCAGGAGCTAGCCCGTGCAGACATTTGAAAACCATGGTAACTCTATGAATTTCCTGCTGGCTTGTCAGATTTTTCCAACTTAAAAATTCAAGTAGCTTAGTTGCATCGGCATCATAGCTAGAAAATGTCAAAACACGGGCTGCTCTAATCTGTAATTTCTGCAGCTTATCTCGTAGCGTTATCCCACAGCTACCCCAGACAATGTCACAGTAATCAAAGTGATGTTTTACTAAAGCTTGGTAAAGCAGATGTAAGGTCGATGCTGGGATCTGATGCCTGACTCGCTTTAGGCACCCGATACCAGAGGCAATCTTTTTTGTTAATTTTTCGATGTGACTATGCCAATCGAGCCTATCGTCTATAATCACACCAAGCGATTTTGTAGAAGTAACCTGGCTCACCTGAGTGCTGTTCATTCTAATTGTTGGTGAAGCTGTGAGAGTACCCAGTCTCTGCCTTGACCCTATTAGCATGAATTCGGTTTTTGTCATATTCAGTGTGAGTTCATTCGCTTGTAGCCATTTGAAAACGTTTGTTAAGTCCTCATTCAGACAAAGCTGTCTACTCTCAAGATCACCGCCCGCATATGTAAGGTGTGTGTCGTCAGCATACATCCTCGGCTCACAATTTGATAAACAATTTGGAAGATCGTTGATATATAATAAAAACAATAGTGGACCGAGGATGGTCCCCTGGGGGACGCCGCAAGTTAATGAGCAGCTGCTGGACAGCGACCCGTTCACAGAACATTTCTGTGTGCGGTTTTCCAAGTATGACTGAAACCATTTGAAAGATTTGCCATGTATACCATAATAGTTTAATTTCGATAGGAGGATCTGATGATCAACAGTGTCAAAAGCTTTTTTCAAATCTAGAAAAATGACACCATTGATTTTCCCGTTGTCAATATTATATGCCCAAGAATCTGTCGCTTCCAACAATGCTGTTACAGTTGAATGGGTAGCACGAAACCCTGATTGATTTTGATATAGAATATCATGTTCTTCCAGATAGGCATACAATTGATCGTAAACTATCCTTTCAAACACTTTCGCCACTATTGGAATCACCGATATTGGGCGGTAATTGTTGACATCATCGCGGTTACCCTGTTTAAAGAGAGGTGTAACCCTTGCATATTTCCAATCATCTGGGAACTTCCCTTGGCTAATAGATTGATTGAAAATATCACATATCGGCACACAAATAAGGTCAGCGCATTCCCTGACAAACCTAGCAGATATTGTGTCAAGGCCCGTTGCTTTTGACTTGTCTCATTAAAAGTGAAAATACTTTATTTGGATTAGTAGGTTGGAGCTCAAACCGTTTATCTGTACCGGCAAGATATCGTTGATAGCTACTACTATCACAATATATCTCACTAGCAAGTTTTGGACCAATATTAGCAAAATGGTTGTTGAATTCGTTTGATAGCTCCAGTGAATTAGTTATCGTTAATCCATTCACTTTTAGTGATGTCACTGACATTTTCCCAGATTTACGTGAAGTTAGCTCGTTTATAGTCTGCCAGGTCTTTCGGGAGTCGCTAGTGTGCTTGTTAAAAATATTTTGGTAATAAACTTGCTTTGCTAAGCGTACTTGCTTATTGACTAAATTTCTTTGTTTCTTAAACACTGCCCAATCGTTGGGATCATTTGTTTTGATTACTTTGATTTTTAATATATCTCTATTATGCATCAAGTCTTTCAACTCAGCGGTAATCCACGGAGAACTTCGTGAACGAACGCGCATCGTTTTCAGTGGGGCATGTTTGTCAGCGATAGCGAAACGGGTCGGAAGACTCATATACGTTATTCCAACATTGAGACTGAATATCATCTCGAAAATTTTGGCAATCGAATTTTCGGAAATTTCTGTATGTTATTGAATTATGTCCATTCGACATCCCGTTCAGAGCAAGTTTTCTATAAACATACACCATGCTATGATCACTTATCCCAACATGACAAACTCCCGAACAGGCGATCTTATCCGAGCAATTGGTGTAAATTAAATCAATTAAAGTTGACGAGGTGGGTGTTATCCTCGTCGGTTCAGGGATGAGTTGCTCGAGTCCGTAGACATCAGCAATATTCTTTAATTTGGATGTATCATTGTCATATCGTGCAGTGACCATGTCACAGTTCATGTCTCCCAGTACAAAAAATTCTACATTTTCACTATCCAATTTCCCAATTAGGGATTCAAAAGGTGAAAAAATGCCAATAGGAGAGTCAGGTGGTCTATACCACGTAAAAATCACAAAAGGTCTTGTTTTTGTCTTATGGATTTCCAAGCAAAGATTCTCTAATGCATTCATATGTAGATCAGATCGTACTGTAAAGTTGATTGAATTTTTAACGTAGAAGCATACCCCCCGCCGCCTTTCGTAAGTCTATCGCGGCAAATTAAATATGAACTTCGTGATCTTGAATGCTCTCGTTCAGTTTTGTTTCGTTTATAGAAATAATATCGATATCGTTGTTTGCTAATAGAATTCTTAGTTCGTCTATATGTGTAGTTAATTGATTTATATTGAGTGAGGCCATTCTAAAGCCACGCAAAGGTGGCAATATTGAGGCAGATTTTACGCCCCTTTGGCTGCTTGATCGATTTAGCACGGCATTGACGGACAGCACATTATCTCATTCTAGGTGCGATTTAAAATTATTATAAAACTGCACATTACCTTTAGAGTTTAAGTGCAGTCCACCTTTGTTGAGTCCATTATAAGATATGTTCTCATGATGAATTAATTTCCATCCGTTTTGATGGCAGAACTTCTCTAGATGCTTGTTGGCTGTTTTTACGGCCTGATCAAGCTTATCTTTTCTGCATACAAGCTCCGACAGCGTGACTGTAGTATCGCAGGTGCTCTCGATCTGTCTCGCGAGGTCGACTATCGATTCGGCAACAGCCTTTGGTTCCCTGGTTTTAAGATCATTAGTCCCAATGTGTAAAATCACTTCGTTGGGCGAAAATTCCAGACTTGGCTTGAGATAGTGATTCATGGCCTTTGTCGTAGCACCCGAGAAAGGCTTGACTATAACCCTATGGCCCACTGCTTTTCCCAGGTCTCTTCCAGGTATTCTTGAGATCATCGAATCGCCTATGAGCAGGGTTGTGCGCTCTTTCGGTTGTTTTGGATCTGTTTTGGTCGGTTCGGATTCTTTTCCTTCTGGGGTGTTATTAAGAATAATTATTAATTAATAATTAATAATTATTAATAAAAACATCAACATGACATATATTGCTTTGTTCGACGCTTGATCGGGAGTAGCGCTAAAAAGTCGTAAATTCCCAATCAAACGTAGAAGATTAAATAATGTATGACAGGAAAAAGAGGAAGGAAAATAAGATACTGAAGAAATGAAACATTTTTCTGATTCGACATGACAGCTTGAAGTGGGTTAAGTTTCAACGTATTGCGGTAAAGATGTCATGAATTAAAAACATCCGGAATTCTGCAATTTAAAAGTTATCTTTGAGTTTGCACTGAAAACGTTTTGCCATGTTTTATATACTATATCCTGTAGCTCCTTGTTTGTGGACCATATATGATCGAGGCCCTGCGAAGGACATTGCTTATTGCTAAGAGAAACACGATAGCGTACTGTTCATTTGCTTTTTTTTCTGTTGTTGTTTGTACAATTTCTACAGCATTCTTCGAGAGAACAAGCTAAAATCTGTACCAGATTTGAAAGGTCCTAAGGTTATTGGACATCTGTAAGTATGGTGCGCCGATCAATTCTTAGCTTCAAAATTGCCCCCCTTCCTTCCCTCTTGGCAATCCACGGTCATTTGACCGTTGCCAGTGCCCAATGGGGTTGGGAAACCTTGCCTTGCTGGGGTGGGCAATTTGAACCGGAAGTGTTGAGTCTTTCATGTGGAAGACAAGTGTTCAATCTTTAAAATATGGAGGTGCACGTCTTGGGCAAATAGTTTACTTTTGCGAGGAATTGCTCAGAAGAAAAGAAAAAAAAAAATAAGTGGGGCATTTGAACATAACTTTTGCTCCGGGAGCGAGAATTTGAACGAACCAATCTTCAAAAGTTCAAAACCCGGGGATGCCTGGGGAGGATGTTAAAGCTTCGATTGATTGATGCATAACCTTGTAATACGTACTCTTCTTAAATTGCAATAACTGTTATGGTTTAATAAGATAACAAATGATTACACAGCCTCCAGAGATTACAAACTGGTTTATAATCTCTGAACACCCTTTATCGACAACTGGTAAAGATGGTTATTGTAACATTTCCTTCTATTGCAAACAAAAAACTACTCCGTGTTTTTGGTTTGTACATTTTCGTGACTTAAATCATCCTTGCATGATCAAATTCCATTTATTTGGAGACAGTAAGTCTTCTCAAAAGCTTACCACAGGGTGCCACAAATTGAGACTAGGTTCAGTTCAAGGTGAGCGTCGATTCAGAAGATCTTCAAAAGTACACAACTATAACGTGTTCAAATGATTCTAATTCAAAGACTTCGCTCAAGTATCAAAGGTAGCACAAGGAAGAAAATTCCAATAAGTTTTCACAATTTTTTTAAAGTTGTTGTTGTGCTTTTTGCAGAGAATTAAATAAGAATCGGATCAAAGATATATCAAGAATTGAAACATCTGGAATTAAACACCTCTTTGAGCTGTAAGTATACAAGTGACTTTCTGTGAGTAAACGTTTCCATTTTGTTTCATGCAGTAAATTCTTGTGATCAGATTCATTGGTGCGAGCGTGATCCATATTCCCAGTCCGTGCCGATGCCATGCCTGTTTGCATTGCAGCGTAGTAGATCGAATTTCCCCTTACAGAAAATTCAAACGAGCGCCATGAATATCTTACAAAACAAATTGGTTCAAACGTCAGCTACGACATAAAGCACGCACAAAGATCGGTCAGCAACCAAGAACCTACAGTTGACACCGAGCTTTTTCCGTGCATTTAATATTTCATGCATGCTTCATATCATTATGAATGCACGCTGGTACAAGAAACAATGGTAAAATATTTAAGAAAGCGACTTAATTTTCTCTATAGTAATAAGGTTTACCTTTCCTCAAATTTAGGTGCCATAATCATATTCTTTCTTACGTTTTAGAACATAATTTTGGACTTTTGACATTGTGTAGTTTTCGGAGATAAAGTTAGCGATGATTCTTCGAAAGCAATTACGTTAATAAAAAGTAAAAGATGCAAAATTCAGGTTTTCAAAAGATCAAGAGCGCAATTTGAAGTAGATGAGTGGGCAGTTTTCAGGCTTTGGAAAAAATTAAGAGTGCCTTTTTATTCCTAATAATATACATGAAGAAATTACTCAGTTCTGATTGGTTAAGATAAATGCAGTTTTCAGGTATTTCAGTGCAGAAGAGGGTTAATTCAGTGCAGAGAAGTATAACAAACCAGACATTCTGATTGGTCAGTAAACAAAGAAACTCATAGACAGCCAATCAAGTGCGAGCCTTAGATTTCGCAACTTTTGGATACGCTGAAAATTTGCGAGCAAAACAATGGTCGGCATTTCAATTAGGTTTTCTTTCGCCACCGCAACAACAATACAGTAGCTGAGAAACAGCTCTAACAACGAAAACACTGTAAAAGTACTGCTCTTTGGTGTTCGGAGAAGGGAATTACAAGGAAATCGAAAATCACTAGCCGACCCAGCTTAACACTTAACTCGAGCGATTCTACGCCGAAACTAGTCACAAACATGGTTAAACCTCGCAAACGACGATTCCATTCCATCGAAAGTGATTCGGACATAGACTGAACGATTCCTTGAACTGTTTAGGCGGACATTGGACTTTTTTGCACCTTAAAGATGTGAAAACATCATGGTGTATAATTGCTTTTATTGTACGCGGTTGTTATGACCGAACGCACAAAGTCACTTGCAGGGTTTGAGTAAAATTATATTTGCACTTGAAGTGTGCGCTTTGCTTCTGCATGATTATGATAAGCTATCTCGTATTTTTTCATGTAAATTATTAATACGTAATCAAATGATTTTTCTCGTGCAATGTTGAATATATAAGCACTTGTTAATTTTTCAAAGACCACAAATTGCATTCGCCCTACGGGCTAGTGCAATTTTGTTAGTCTTTGAAAAAATTTACAAGTGCTTATTTATTCCAAATTGCACTGGAAATCATGTGATTATCTCTACGAATTGCACGTGAATGATTCTTTATTACCTATAACATAATAATTATGCGAAAGCAAACAGCTTATCACGTGCAAAACTGATTCACTCATAATTTGCAAATGCTCTTGTGTTTCAGACAAAAGAGCAATGTTCATTAAAAAAAAACAGCGATATTCTATTATGTTTCTTTATGGTCATTAATTTTGATATCAAAAGCCCGGATAAAAATTCTGTTGCCTCTTTTCGAATTACCAATTTTCTACTCTGTATTTCTTTTCTATGCATTGTTTTATGAAAAAATGCATTTCGCAAGTCAATCAGTTGGAGGTATTTTTTTCTTATTCTTATTGCGTAAAGCTTAACGTCCCTCGATGTGATGCCTATCGAATAAAATTTTAAGTTTAAAGACAAATAACACTTTTATCTTGTAGGTTGTTGTCTAACAATGAAATCGATTGTCTTCCACCAAACATATTTCAAAACATTTCCATAGTGGGATCCATGTAAGTAAGATTTAATATAATAGCAGGCAAGGAAAGTGAAATCGAGACATCTTTACCACGAATAAATCCATGAAGCTCCTATAGTTTTTTTCTTTTTTTTTGTCGTGGTGTACCTTCTGAATGATGTTTAACCAGGTATGATAGACTTTCCTGAGTTTTTCTTCACTTCCAAAAGGTTCACCTGTTCATGGATTTTTATACTGGTCATGTAACGCTTTTGAGTGGTATACCATAGAATATCCCACGAGTTTTTGTATTTTCTCGGTATATGCATACCCCTCTGATCTCCGTCGACCTTTCGAATCTCTCGAAAATAAAGTGATAATGGCATAGTGGTCATCCAATTAGGCTGGGGGAATTTCCGTCAGACCTCTTTCCTTTAAAAACGAGTTAGTTGTTGATTTAAGTCGACAAACTTACTTCCATCCGAACTCGTTTTCTTCACTGCTCTTAAGTTTCTTCGCCTTTCAACGAAAATATCAACTTCTTGATCAGTCAACTATATCTTTTTGGTTAAATATTTATTTTTACTGAGTTTTCGACCTCATGAATTAACGTCCTGGGAATATTGGCTCTGACACGGCTCAAACAACACCTAAAATAAACTGGAAACGCCGCCACCGTTCGCTGAATTTCGGCAGAATAAGATCGGAAAGGGCGGCTGCAATACTGTCGAATATACAACTGATTTCTTTTATTCTGGTTCGTTGTATTTTTAATAGTAAGGTACCAACAGCTATAGAAGTAAATACTGTAGGTGCGTCTGTTTCTTATCCCTAATCTTATTCATGTTATCTTCCTTATAGTGACTTGTCATTCAACAAATTGCGGTCCATACCAGATGGCTTATTCAATAAGCTTGGAAAATTACAAATTCTGTGAGTAAATATTCAGCGCACTTTTCCCAAATTTATGATGAATTGAATTATGTTGTTACCAGCAATATCCTGTTGGAGAAGGAACATTGCTATTTGCCCTCCTCCCTTAAAACCAGCCACAGAAAAACGCTTCAAGTCTTTTAAAATTAACGCTGACTGCTTTCTGGGAGGTTGTTTAATAAAAAACTTCGATCTGATGCCGCAAGCTAAATTGCGACTTATCAAAAAGTGATATTGATATTATTACTATTATCCTCATAACCATTATTATTGTTATTCAAATGGTACAATTGTTCACAATGCTCTTTTTTATAAATCAAGGATGATTAGCTTCAACAACATCTCCAACATAAACAATCACACTTTTGAAGGACTTTCAAGCTTGGAGACGCTGTAAGCTCGTTTTTTGGTTTTTCATGTCTGTAATCCCTCCCTCCCTAATTAACTCACTCGTTAATCAATAAATCGCCTCTTGGTTTTTATTTATGTATTTATTTCTTTATTCAATCATATTATGTCTACAATCCTTTCTTAAATAGCTTTTGTGTTTAATACTCTTATTCAATTTTCAGGATGCTGATAAAGAACAAACTGACTTTTATTTCCAACGATGTTTTTGATGAAACTGCTTTGCAATCAGTGTAAGTACATATACGTTTCAGAAAGTTAACGTATATCCTGGAATATATATAATGAGCCTAAATATTCAAGGAAACCAGTTAAAAGAAAATAGAGGCTTCATTGTAAAACACGCGGGGCATGATATATGGATGACAACGTCTATATATCAACATGGTTTGAACCACGTAATCTCTGGGTTGAATTAGTAAGAACTGAGAAAAATTCAACCATCCTATAAACATGAATGTTTCAATGCGTAACATAGATTGCGAGCGCTGACTCCTGTTTGTGTTAACAATATGACAAATTTGACTTGTTTGAATTTGTTTTGTTTTGTTTAGTTTTTTGTTATCATTTCTTCCTTTATATAGTTTTCTTCACAGTAATGCCATCAAAACGATTGGAAGTGAATCCTTCAGCAGACTTAAACTGAAACAACTGTGAGTAAATTGAAAAATAAAGTGAAGTTTTAAACGCTACAGTGAAATGTATTAATCAAGCTTGCCACTTTGGCTTCAAGAGGATCATTGATCTGTTTTTACGGAATTGTTGCCTTGTGAGACTTTATTAATCCTTTACACCCTTAGAGTGAATATTCTCCAAACTATTTTCCACACGTTTTGTAAGGTGCTGCTAAGTGTTTAATTCAGGGATGATATTGTTAGGAGAAATTGGATGCCAGTCACTCTAAGGGGTCAAAGGGTAAATTTTGCACAAAAAACGGTAGCCACATCAACCATATGGTAAGGAAAAAAAAACGCCATGTCTCTATAATTATGTGTAGGCTTGAGTTAATCATTAACCTTATTATTGACATTTTTTTTCAGTACTATCTTTGATAATCCTCTACACTCGTTACCAGATGGAATGTTCGACAAAATGGACACCGAAACCAAAGTGTAAGTGAATCCAAAGCACCCGTTTGAATATTTTAAAGATGACTATCGCCTTTCGAAAGGCCACATCTTGATTTAACGAAGATCGTCAAGGTTGTAGGAGAGATTAATAAGCTTTTAAATCTAAGCTGACCTCAATGTTTTTTTTTATCTGTTGATTTTCTCGTAAGGATATGCGATTGCGTATTGGTTAACGCACCGGACTCAAATTGAATAGACTGGGTTCCAAACAAGCTAAGCGAGTTCATTATATGATGTTCTCGAGCGGGAGATTCTACTCCATAAGTCTCCTTACACCTATAAGAATAAATTTGCACGCGAAAATTGGGCAAATGGGGTTAAGGTCCTGGAGAAACTATGGTGCTGCAGGGGGGAGAAGGGGGGAGAAGGGGGGAGAAGGGGGGGGAAAGGGGTCTTATAAGATAATCTGAAATTACTACGGCAAGCTTACGTTGAGAGCGTTGGCCCATCGGCAGATGGAATGCTCGTCCCTTTACAGTACAAAAACCGCGATAAACGACCGCCGTTGGTGGGGACCACAGATCTTAAGAGTATCGCTCCTGCAATTAAAATTATCATCAAAATAATCTACAGATCATTGACATGTAAAAACCTTCTTCAGCTTCCGAAAGGACAGTATCAGTCAGTAATGTGAGTAAACCTAATGTTGACGTTTTAAGATGACTTATTTCATATATCATATCTTGGCATCTGTACTATTAGATTCATTGTTTCCAGACGATACGCGCTTGAGTCAGGAGCCCATAATGGCTCCTGCTAAAGTCTACTGAATTGAGTATTTGTTATAATTAAAATTTCAATTGCTTTCAATATTTTGCTATTTTCTTAAACTTAAGTGACTGTGCCCCCTCCACTACATTCAATATACTTTTGACCGGAGAACAATCTAGCTACAGTGATGGCCTAGAAAGTTCAGGCTTTGAGTGCCATTCCTGTGGGCCTCATCCCAGTGGCTCCCGATGTCGTAACTGCTCTCTTTGTCAAGTTGGTTATTTCATGCACGCCAAACAGATGTGTGTCAAGTGTCCTGCAGGTGACAAAAGACATTTAAAATGCTTCATGTCATAGTTATTTAATTTTGGAACAACAACAACATTACTAGAGAAAATTCGAGCCGTTGTTAGTTACGTTCTTTTAATAGAAGAAGTCTCAAGCTCGGTCACTCCGAGTGCTAGTATCCTAACTTAAATTTTCCCTCTATCCCATTATCGTTTCCTTTGCTCTCGTTTTTAAAGTTTTCATCCCTGCCTTCTTTTTTTCATTAGTTGGTTCAGCGTATAAAGTGAGCTGATGCCTGTAAGGCCACCGCCAATAGGGCCAGTTTTCACTCATAATCAGTTTTATGTCGTTGCATCCTTCTTACATAATATCTGGTGGCTACCGTTTCATTTCCGTTTTGGTTTCATTTCCGGTTTTACGCTACGTTGCGTGTCACGTGACAATTTGCACGTGCTTTGACATTTTGGAGAGAGTTTACCTTCGTGTAGCTGTTTTGGTTCGCAGAACAGTTCTTTAACGTGATTGTGATTGTGATCGTGATTGCGTTATTGCGATTTCCCTTTTTCTTGTACGTTATCTTGTAAAGGCGAAAGCTACATATCTTCACAGGTGGTTTTTATCAGGATGAAATGGGACAAGTTGATTGCAAAAGATGCAGCATTGGTACATTTGTGTCTGAAACGCGACATCCTGGGACAAGTCCTGCGGACTGTGTGGCATGTCCATACGGTAACTGATGTTTTGTCTCTGAGACACTCTTAAAATTTTTCACCATGAAAACTTCTCCCTGCATGACATTCCATGTGTGGTTCATAGCATTGCAGAGAAGAGAAAAAACTTTTCTTCTCAATCTAAAACGGAAACGGCTGGCAAATTAATTTCTCGCCAGTTTGAGTACCGCTGGACGCCATTTTGCATCCAGAAGTAGAACCTATCCTTGGAGCTAATTCCTAACTAACTGTAGGCGGTTTGATGGGTTGAATTTATTTTTAAGGTTGGTTTTGCGCCTTTGTACCAAATAATGTGAATAAACTATTTATCTAAATTGCAGGTACTCTCTCCAACGAGACTGCGGAATATCGAGCATGCAGATGCCTTCAAAACTTTTATCGGTTGGATCGTTTTGGTCCGTGCTCAGCATGTCCACCACACGGTTTTGTTTGTGAGAATGATACAGCAATACTTGCTCCTAACTTCTTCTGGAAATGGTCAAATCAGTCTGAAAAAGGATTCTTTAAAGGTTTTGTTAATAACATCCACTCTTCTAAACAAGACTACGACAAGTTATATTCTACGTTTAATACTTTACTTCCAAACCCACTCAAATGTCCTTATGCCAGGTCTTGCGAGGGTGGAATCGACTCCAAATGCCATCATGGATATAAAGGAGTTCTGTGTGCAACCTGCTCTAACGGCTTTTATTTCCGATTTCACGCTTGCTTGAAATGTCCTCGGTTAACTATAACAGTTACTTCGTCCATCTTGGTAATTGCTCTTTTTGTTGCTGTGTTTCTAATGGTTCTTTGGGGTGACTCCAAACGTGCAGAGAATAACCGGACGGTTGCAGATGTCGTCATGTCGTGCTTTAAGATTGTGATTGGTTTTTACCAAGTCATTGCTGGAATTTTCTCGGCATTAGCGAAAGTCCAGTGGCCAGTCATTTTGATCTCAACGGAGAAGGTTCTAAAAGTGTTTGAAGGGAACATCTTGCAGTTTGCGCCACTAAGCTGCATTCATTCTTCCCTGCGTCTCGATGAGCTCGGAAAGTTCACAGTGATCGTTGCTTTAAATGTCCTACTTGTCGGCTTGATTTTCCTTTATCTTTTCGTTAAAAGACGCTACATTATAAATAAAACTGACAGTACCGAAAGCCAAAAAATGAGGGAAATTAAGAGTTTGAAGAAATCTTGCTATCGGAACATTTTCCTATTGTTGTTAACGACCTACCCCACGACGAGCAAGTCGATTATTCAAATTCTACCTCTTCCCGGTGCGTGTGTAGAAACGTGTTTCTCAAAAGAAAAGCTCGACTGTATCTTCCTTCTGAGAGCTGACTACTCTATCCAGTGTTTCACTCCTCGCCACAGCTTGTATTGGCTCATGGCCTCTATTCTGGCATTATATCCCGTAGGATTTCCACTTTTGGCTTTGTTTCTCACTTACAAATATCGGGAGTCCCATGAAAACGAAACAGTTTCTTTTGGGCTCAGAGTGTTCTTTGAAAACTACAAGAAGAAATTTTGGTTTTGGGAGATCATAGAGATGTACCGCAAACTGATATTGATCTCATTGATTTTCCTATTTGGATCTAAAAGCCTTCCTCAAATCGGTCTCACAGTTCTGACAGTCAGCGTCTTTGGAGTGCTCTACACCCTATTCCGACCAATCAAGGACAAGTTTGAAGACCGCTTACAAACATTTGTTCTTTGGATAATTTTCTTTGACGTTTGTCTTGGTGCAGTTTACACAAACTGGGATGAGAGTCAAGGAGAGGACAAGAACGACTCCATCTTTGTAAATGCCCTGTTCGTGGTCCTTAACGCCTCTGTATTGTTATTTGCCATTGGTAAGTCATAGTGCTGCTCTTTACGTTTTATCGATCAATTTAACTTTACATTCACATATATTAAAAGTGCAAATAGCAATTACCGGGAAGTTTTAAGGAACACAGGACGAAATCACATGTTTCCGTATTTCTGAAACGTGGCGGAAACATGCAACTCCATGTTTCCGTTATGTTTACGTAAAAGTGGTCCGGTTCCGTTGTATACGCAGCAACGGAAACGGTAACGGAAACACAGGTTATCCGTCGTGTTTCCGGAACGGTTTAACATGTTTCTGCTACGTTTCCGTTTACGGATTCTTGCAATTTCGTCCTGTGGAAGTGGGATGTCTAAATGTCGCGTCTGTGCAATTGAGTATCATATGTTGTGTATATTTAGGCATTTCCACTTTGCTTTTTCATATTGCTTCATATTTTGTCATTCCGTTCTTAGTTATGTTATCACCGAAAACTAAGTGTTTTTGTATTCTTAGAGCAATTACTTCGGAGAAAATCTTGCATGTTATTGTATAAAAGCAATTAATGCAATATAGCTGGCACTCTTCGGTAGAAAGCTTTGCAGTTATCGTTCGTCATACAACCTAATTGGATTAGTGAATAATATTAGTTGCTCAGATCACTAAGTTGTCCTCAGTTACTCAAGCAGCCAGCACGAAAACTGTCCATATATATCTTGCTTGAGAGTCATGCCTTATCAAATACCAAGAAAAGGCCTCAGTGAATATAATAAGCTTCTATTTTATACATACTGAGACTAACACTGTGAAGTACTTTTGTTCGTGTCTCTGATTGGACGAAAGATGTATTTTCACAATCGTTCACTTCCCTTCTTTGAAATGGGTCGGTCATTAAGAAAAAATGATGAGAATGCACTCCCTCCCGTAGCCTTAGACAAGTCAAGAAGAATTGTTATTTAAAAAAGTCAGAGTGCGAGTTATTGGGAGATTTTGGTTAACCCTAACCCTTTGAGGTTTCTCGTTAACACTTTATACAAAAATACAAATGTTATTGAATAATTGATAATTATGCTATTCTGTTCTTATCTTTTACTGCGTCAGGAAAGGGAATATCACATGTGAAGTTATTTCGCAAGTATTTTTCCTTCTGCCCGATGAGATGTTTCAATTTCCTTCGCCAAGGACTGGCGCCTCTTAAGAATAAGGCGGTCACCACAACACCTGAAGAATCATTCTTGATCTAGGATGGCACCCAAGAGCCTCGCCGATATATTCTATCTATACCGTTATAACATATCTCGAAAAAAAAAACAACAACAAGAACAACAAGAACAAGAACAACACCAACAACAGAAACATAGTTGAGGGGGTTTACCTTAGACGGCTTGATTACTTCGTTCATGTTAGCTCTCATGATCAAGCCTTAACACCTCCCCTCCCCTCGGCAACTCAACGGCTTTTGACTGTCGTCCGTGCCCTAGGGGTGTGGAGTTTGAACCTTGCCTGGCTGGGTGGGAATTTGAAACGGAAGTGTTTAGTATTTCCATCGAAATACAAGCGTGTATTTCTTTAAATATCGAGGTGCTTAAATCTTGAGAATTAACTTTCGCGAGTGAAACTGGATGAGAAGAAAAGGTGTGCGATCTTAAGGTATTAAAGCTCAGTCAATGTGCAGATAGTCACAGTCGCCGATCTTGCCTTTTACCAAAAAAAAAAATTGATCATTAAATCCGGCACTTGGTTAGGGCATTTGAACACAATTTAGCCTGACCCGGCATACGGGAATTTGAACAAATCAGTCATTAAAAGTTCAAATGACTGGGGTTTGCCCTTGGTGAATGTTGAAGCTTCATTACATACACCGAACTGCCAATTGGTTAGCCTTCGTAATTACTGAGCTAGGTTTAAAAAGAAAACACTTGTGTTCTCGCAAGGAGGCCACTCGATGGAGGGTCCCAATGGGGTGATGGCTTTTACGGCTAACAGTCAAAATTTTGGTCAATGTACGGCTAACAGTTAATATCCCTCCATAGCAGTCACCAGAATTTTTTTTTACGGTTTTCTTTTTTTAAAGGTAACGGTTGAAATTTGTGAGTACTTTTGCTTAATGGCTGGCTGATTTTTTTGGCCTTTTTACGGCTATCGGTTAACCTCATTGCGAGCCTCTTGAAGTTCTAAGCAGTATATGTCGCGCAGTCTGCAGCCCCTCCCTGCATCTAGGCAGTTCGGAAAGCTGCAAAACTCTGGAACAAAAATCGGAAGTATCTATCGGCTTGTTTAAGCCTCCTCGGTATCAACGCTTTGCATTCAACATTTCTAAAGAGATAATAAACAACTGAGTTTATACTTCCTTGTGTTGATCAATTTTTCCGTGGGATGCCTGTGCAGTTTCCCTGCTCTTCTTTTCCATCGTTGACGTAAATCGATAAATTCTAGAAACGCTTGGAATGTTTGACATTTTCCGTATCTCTTAGCAATGAACGAGTTGCTAGTAATTGGATCCTTTTGTTAGCGTAACCTTGTTTCGACGTAATAATACACGATTTGATGAGATTATCACAAATAGATTGCTATAATGTTGATGAAAGGGAAGCATACGCATTGTGTGATTAACCGTGAAACATCTAATAAAATATACTGATAATCCCTTCATCTTGCATAGGGTTTATTTTGAAATTGACATCGCGCAATGGTCTCGAATATCACAAAATTAATGGCCTGTTTACATGTACATTACCTATAATCTCTTATTTTATCTATATCACGTTTACATGATAGATGGGGTGACTCGCCCAGGCGGGTTGCTAGGTTTGCTAGTTAGGGTAAAGCTGTCATCCGGGGTGACAATTTGCAATGTAAAAGTCTCAAGGTGAGGAAACCCGCCCAACCTAGATCGCGTTCATGTGACAAAAAAATTAAATGAGCCAAACAATAGCGAAACAAACGGTGGACCACAGAGGAAATGCCACAAACACACTAACACACACGCACACACACACACATATATATATAATCTTTTTTTCATTTTTATATCGAGCGATAAAATCAAAATACGGCGCGATAAATGGAAATTATCTCGCGAGAAATGGGACAATTGTTAAGTCGCACGTGATCCGCTGTCAGGCACGTTGTTTCAGTGGACGAGAGGGCTTGTCCTCTATGAGCCACCGTAGAAACACGGGTGTGTTAAAACATTTTACATTTCCTTGCCGTCCCACGCAGAGCTAAAATGTTAAAACACTATTTTTTACGTCCTCTTAGCAATGAAACCTCGACAGCGATTTAATCACGTTTTCACTTTGAACTTAACACTACATTGACTTATTATGCCAAAGTGAAGACATTGTACCGTCAGAAACGGTTAACGCATCGAGCTAATGGCGAAAATCTTAAAGGACGAGAAAATACTGACGTTTTTCGGCAACGTTTCACCACACGTCGCCGTTAAACTCCTTAATTACAAATGCAATAACAACCTCGAGAAACTTCACTCCAACATCTAGGGGTTGTAAGATTGTATGTAAACGCGGGCTTTTTATCGACCTCGGCCAGGCGGGTTACCTCACCTACCGGGATCCCCCACATCCACGTAAACAGGCCCTAACTTTAAATCTCTAAGAAATACCTCAGTAAAACCTTATTAGTTGTATTTATGTGTGTGTAGCTTGTGTCGTATTTGTTTTTAGGTTCTCTCAAAGGAGAGAGGTCGTTGTGAGCGGAAATGGAAGTTTTTTTTACCGAGCTGCTTCTCTTTAGGAATGAAACAAGCGAGGAGAAACACGAGGAGATCAATAGGTTGAGGTCCAGTTTGTTTCGGAAAGATCCAAAGGTTTTTGAGCTGCCACTCCTCGCTATTTTTAACCACAAACACTGTCACAGTTTATTCAACTCTAAACTTTTTTTCAGTGATGTCTTTGGCTAATTTAAGTGACTAATCTTGGTATTTTATTTTAACTGCACTATTCTTTCCAATGAACCGCTCAGTAGCCGACGCATTCCACGGAATAGCCTTCAGGCGTCTTATACTGTAAATAAAACGCACAACCAAGAATTCATTTATTCATTTACCATTACGAAGGGCTAGCGCTCGAAACATCAGCTCTAGAAACTCTCCCCATTTGAGGGCATACTGCGCCATGTTTCTTAGTGTTGCTTGATTTCGACAGCGGTAGATATCCTTGATGTCTCTATTCAATACGATCTCGTGTCAGAATCGGAAAGGATGGCGTTTATTAGAGGCAGGAATGACCATGTATGCGAAAGCCATCCAGACTTCTGCAACTTTCCTGCCGGTGGTAAGGTGTTTTGAGGCGAAAAAATATAATATAATATAATATAAATGGAAGTTTTATGCGGATAGACCATCGGATATTACTTATTTACTAGCATGTCTATTTTTTCCCAGAATCTCAAGTGAAGACTTTTTCTAAAAAATTAGCAGGAATTCCACCATTTTTCAATGTAATCATTCAATAAATGAGTGTTTAACCGGCCAAGTTTACAGTGCTTGAGATTGTTACAAGTTGGTCGTACTGCGCTTTTCCTATGTTTGTTTGTTTCTTTTGCCTGTTTGTTTGAATTTATTTTTCTATCCTCATATCATTTTCAGCTTACTTCTTCCCACAAAATAGGTGAGGTTTGATACCCAACGGCCATTCGTCCCGTATCCATATTAACAGTGATTTTCTGCAAATGATGGTGATAATGATAATGATGATGATTATTATCAATTCTCGTGTCGTAGTTGTGGTTGCTTCTACAGAGAAGCAAGACAGAGCAATCTATGCGTTTACGCGAAAGAAATTTTCCCTATGTTTTCATTCCTCAAACTACTAGATGCTGACCGTTAAAGAAAGAATTCAATTTTTTAATGAAGAGTAAATCCTGTTTCTCTGTGTTAATGCGGTGTTAAAAGTATACTAAAAGGCAAGCATGAGTAACTGACTCGCGAGGAAGAGGCCAACTTTAAAGAAATAGATTAGACAATGAAATGGAAAAGTTTTTGTGTTGAAACTTCCAAATGTCTATGACAATAAAGACCCTACAACATTGACTTACTAAAAGAATTGTCAATGATAAACCTACCTAGGGGAGTGTAAACTAGTAATGAGTTACACCCCACCCTTAAACAACGAGTGCGAATAGATCATAGGGAGTAATATATCACTTCAAAATAGAATGGAACTGACGACCTGTTTATAAAGTGGGTCACTTAGATATTTAATAATCAAAAGAGTCATCTTGAAACAAAAAATACTGTAAGACAAGGTCTCAGAGTCTAAAATGAATGAACGATACTAATAAATTTAATACTTATCTGGTAAATTAATGATCGATGTTTTACATTTATTACGTCAGCTTGTGTTAATCTCCAAATTAGTTCAAAAGTGAAGGTAGACAGCTCACAGGAAAGAAAAGAGAAAGATGGGGGAGGGGAGGGGTGGGGAGGGGTGGGGAGGAGTGGGGTGGGGTGAGCGAGTTAAATAATTGTTCCATCTCTAAAGTCATTGATGACCAGGAGAAAAAAACATTTTCAAACTACTTCCACGCAATAGTTGCAAACCCACTTTTCCTTGATTATGTTTGAAACTCCCCTAAGAATTAGTTATTTGAAAGTAACCTGAGCAATTTTCACTCGTTTTATTTTTCGTTGACCACGTGAACTGAAAAACATGACATCCATGGCAACGACGAACTACAAAAAAGGTCAACATGGTCTAAGAGGATCTCTTACTTCTCTACTAAGTCTCCGGTGGACCCTGTAGAAATTTGGAAAAAATATTTTATGTCATGTGAGGCAAGAGATTATAAACTCTTGGTCATGGCTGGCACAAATATTTTCACAAACGGTTGAAAGTAGGCTGGTAGAGATTTGTATTCCTAGGGGTTGGTAAGAAAATGGATACTGGGGACAAAGTTGGTTTAAGTCCGCTGTGACTACGAAAACGCGTTATTAAAATGAACCAGCCTTGAATCTAAAACAAGAACCAAAAATGGGTTGCAATCAGGAGAGAGGAACAGTTCGCGCGAATGAAAGAAAAAAAATAGCAAAGTTGCATACATTTGAATTAGAAAGATATTCCAAGAGTGCGAAACAAGCGGGCTTAAGCTTTTGGACTCTTAAAAAGCATATTACACACGGTGCTCCCTCCAAAGTCCGAGAGATCAAGGAAGGGTATATGGTTGGACTTAAGACGTTCTCAGCGTAACTCCTTAACTGGCGATCACTTGGCAATATAATGCTCTATGATGAAATAAGACCACAATAAGGGACAAAAAGGTTACAACCACGAGCTGCCACCTTTTTTAAACTTTAAAAAACTGCATTCCTCACTTATTGCATTTCACCTCCTTCCCCCAAAAGACGGCTGTGCTTCTAATCTCTTATACTTATCTTGTGCGTACACAAGATCAAATAGGGGAAGGAGGGAGGGGGGAGGGGGTGGGGGTTGCTTATGGAAATGTAGGAGAAGACAGATGACGTAAGAGTAAAGGGTTAATTTATTTTCATTGTGGCAGTTTAAATTAAGTATCTATACAACTTCAATCAACGGCCTATCGTATATCAAATACCAGACTTACACTTGTTATCCTATGTTCTACTTAAATATGTCCTTGCCGTTCTCCTCGAGCGATTGAGCAGCTAAATGATTAACTAATTTCGTCATCATATTGATGATAAAAATTATTTTTTTATGAGAGATGTAACGATAGCTTCTGCAAGAAAATACTTTTTCGCCTCCACTTTGCGCTCGCGTTTCTCCCTATCTTTCACTTGGTCGTTATTCCTTGTTTGACTCAGTCTAGTGTCCCTTAGCCACGGCATCAAGACAAAAAAACATAATACCATCCTGGTTAAAAAGTTGCCATCTTCCATTAACGGTCAGCATCTGGTAATTCAAGGAAAAAAGAAAGGAGTGTGCCTTTCAATCGGGCGCATATATCTATTTAACCTATTTCTCGTTTCTTAACAATATGACTTACGCAAATCAACCAGAACTAAATCTAATGCTCATTAGTGCCAAGAAAAAGTTAATAACAACTGAATGGCCAGAAAACAATTACTGTGAGAAAAACAGAAAAATTTTGATGGGAATAGAAGCTAAGAATGATAATTAGGGCAAAAAGCAAGGAATTCAAGGAGGCTTGAAACTCGCTCATGTCAATAAATCGATTACCTTGAAAAATGATGGAATTGCTGTCAATTTATATGAGTAAGTGAACACGTGAGTTTCTGGAAGAAAGCAAAAAAGTAGATCAGGAAAGGGTACAGAAAAGCAGCATCAACAACAATAGCAGCATGGGGTCGAAATAAATCATCAGCTCAAAATTAATGCTTTTTTCTTCTAGTACAACTGACATTTTAAGACGTGACTTTTCTCAGAGAATGTTTATTTACAGAAAAGATCTCAAAAAATCAATTTTTGATACAAACAAGAATACTTTGAATTTTTTTAAGACATTCTTTTGGAGATAAACAGTAAGTGGTTTGACTGACACGAAATTTACCCTGGGGTTTTATGATACAACATAACGATGTGGCTTGTATATATATCTAAATTTTCAAATTTCACGATTCGTGAGAAGCCGTGCCTGTCACAGCAGCATGCCACCATCAGGAAACAGCGATGGCCTAAATATTTTCAAAGTGTGGATAGATCTAAAGGGAAAGCCTTTATTTTAGTGCTAGAGTCCTAATTTGAATGGAGGAAAAGAAAAACCTTGTGTATTCGAGTATTTGCAAAAAAGGGAGTGTTTGATGAAAAAAGTCTCACTTGAAAATCATCCATCAATCTTAAAATGGCCTGAAATCAACCTTTCACCGCTAATAGTTAAAATATCCCTCCCTCCAATTGAGATCCTCTGTTTTTACACATCTCCGTTCTTTTGGCAAGGCAAGAGATTGATTGCAGAGCTGCATATCGACCGCAGGAAGCCATTACGCATGTCTACTCTAAAACGACTGGCGCGTTTGAACTGACTGTGTCCAAGAGCTTCTACTGTCATCGGCGTTCTTGCAATTGGGCGTTTTTAGTTTGCATGATTTGTCAAAACGTTTCAAAGAGTATGCGTTTTCAAAAGAAAACGAAGGGATGGGAGATCAGATTTGGTAAATTAAAAGATCAGAGCATAAACTGTTGAGGTCTCAGTATTCTGTTCCTGCATAAGAAGATTCTAGACTCAAATAGAACAGAAGGTCGACGCATAGACAGATCAGTCAAACTTACTTGATCTGCCACTGCATTAACAACTTTATCAATTTTGAACCGAGCATTACATTTTCATTCTGATCATTATATACCCTACTTACCGTCTGCAGGTAAGCTGCATAATTCTTGGAAATCTGCTTTTTTGCAAACATTTTCCCTCTCCTTGAGGATGACTTTTCCGTCCGATTCTGACTTTATTATGTAATTCGAGTACGCGTCTAGGACATCAACCGCTGAAGAAGAAAAGGATTAGTCATTGATAAGGTACAGTCGAAGCTCGCGTAACCGGGAGTTGAAAGGGAAGCAGTTTTTATGCTAAAATTGTACCATTGCGATTATTGCGCCCTATTTTCTGAAACAAGTCTGAAATAAATTTGAATGTGAATGGCAAATTCTTCTTTAAACTTTCTACCGTTAAGTTCCAGTTTTAACGGTGTATCGACACTTTTTCTCGTCGTTATGTATATGAATTCCCTTTCCTTTAGCTCAGCTTTCTTTCTTTTTTTTCTCCCTTTTTTACGCAGCATTGTGCCAATGTTTTTTTTTCATTTGCACTCTAGAGAAACCCTTAGAGCCTCACTAAAAAATAGAATTTTAAATACTATGTAATATTTAACTGAGAGCGAGGGTCGGACGGGAAAATATTCGGTTCGAGGTCATGACTTACGGACTGACCGCTGAGGATCGAAAAGTTCGAAAATTTCTTTTCAACCAAAATAGGACGCGATAGACGAGCGCGCGGGACAACCACAAATAAATTCTACAATGAAAAAATTTCCTTTATTCTTTTGAATCAGAACAAGACACTCGTAATTAATGGAAAAACACGACTTTTGAAACTCTTTTAAAGCTTTGCAGCTGAAATCGCGGACAGTAAACGACATTGCCATAAATCTTGAAAGCACATTCACTTTGCAAATATCTTTTTTTTATATAAATATGATTTTCAGTAAACACCTCAATGAAAATCTTCTTAGTTTGTCGCTACAATTTTCTTGAAGCAAAAACATGCCAACTTTTCATTCTCAGCGAGCACTTTAGGGAATTCTAGTCGAGAATTACTGAAGCTCTTTTATTTCAACCGCGCAGTGAAAAATAAAGGCGTAAGACGGAGCAACCAGTTACCTAAACTGAGTTTTAAATGAAAGATTTGATCATGCTAAAATAATGAAACATTTGTCGTTGTTTTTGACGTTCAAGTGTCTTCTTGGTTTTCTCCCAACCAAAGGTCTTTAAAAAATGAAATTCTAAGAATTCGCCTTGTGTGGCGCCATTTGAAAAGGAGGAAAGATGTTTCATTTTCTATGGGATTACAGGTAAATGTACAATAGATTTCTGACCAATCAGAGCACGCGTTATGTCTAAATCATGTTATAATTCTCTTTAGTTCTGTAATCAACTTACCGGGGGTTAGTGTTACACTTACAGTGGCGATAGTTCCAGTCGCTATAAAAGGCCATGGAGATATTTTGATTTTTGCTGTATGGTCATGAAAGCCTGTCGACAAATCGAAACTTTCACTGAAAGTGTCATTATTGTGTTCCATACCATCTTAAAAAGGCTGGTAAACTCGTCAGAAAATCATGATCATAAAAAAACTTTTTAACTCATTAAAATATAATGACCAGGCGACTGTCTTTGCTGAAGAACCAAAAATGATTTTCCCACATTAAAGCTTTTAATAAACGAATGCATTTGACATCTTAGATGACTATCATCGGGGTGGAGAGATTTAAATCTACCTTATCTCCCTGTAAAGCTCTGAAGTGTTGTAATGATCCTCTCTCATTGGCCGTCAATAATCTCTAGCCCACCCCCCCCCCCCCATTTATTCCCTTTCAGCGACGACTGATCCCCCCACATTAGGTGTTAAATAACAACTGGTCGCCCCTGCTGCAAGCTAGGACTTCGGTCTGTATTTGCTATCGTTTTCATGCGCATGTCGCCGTAAGACTTTTTGAAGCCACTCCAGACTTTGATGCCTTATTGCACTTAGTCGACTCCGAATGCGTACCGCCGACTACCCTTTCCTATCCTGTTTTAATAACAGGAAAATGTTCAGAGTTCACTGAAACAATTTCAATAAAAATGAAATGAAACAACTAACCATCACAGATCGACGCATTTTTAAATTCTATTCCCGAGGGATATCCTGCTCCTCCACCGATAACGAAAAGGAACAAGTTCAAGGAGATAGTTCGCCACTGCTGATTGGCTGAAATCATCATTTTCTTCGTATCCGAGAAGTGGATAGCAATATCTGTGGAAAAGAGTTAATTTTGATGTACGACGCAACAAATCTTTCTGATGAAATTAAAAAACCTTCACCTATTATTCCTAGCATGTAAAACAAGTACGTTTGTAAAAACTGAGTAACTTTTCTGAGTGTTATGCGTATTTGTAGGAAGACAAGTTAATTTTTATTAAAGTTAATGCTTCGATATTACTGAGATAAAATCTATGGATCGAAAGTTGTCCATAAGGGACCTACAGAAAATTGTAATGTGATAAAAACAAACATCCTCTTGATATAAATATCTACAACCCTCTTCATCAAGTAGGTTTATCTATAAATTCAGAAATTGTGCTCTATCTTTGCAGTAAACCGTGTCTTAAATAAACGGGTAAGTTTCTAAAGAAACTGTGGTGCTACGTCGGTGGGAGAGTATAGCAAGTAATTTAGTGTTAACAACTGAGTTGAAAACGTAATTTAGCCACCGTAAAGTGTGAAAAAGGTGACGTTTCTAGCGTTAACCCTTCGTTAGCCCTTCGTCAGAGCGAAATAAACGAAAATTGAAACCCCTCTCAATCCTCGTGACAGGAAATGAATGATCACTTTGGTAAAACTATTGACAAAATATGTTCAAGTCATAACCGATGGAATTAGCAAAATCACCTGAAAATTGCCTATGCATATCTAGCAGCGTTTGTGCGAGATATATTTATATTTTTGTCTATAAAATGACGAATCATATTTCTTTTCAGGAAGGAACATAAGAAAGAAATGTATTGTGAGTCGAAAGTCGTGGTACTCTATGTTAGACTTAACTCAAAATCCAGTCTATTCCGTTTTCTTTCCTGATATTTTCAATTTTGACTTTTCCCTGAATCATTCATATCTCGACCTTAAATAAAAACATGACGAACTCATACAGGTTTATGGACTTTTAATTACTTTGACTATTCAGACACGGGCCTTAAATGTTTATTTCCCGCGCCCGCCTCTACGTACTATGAAGAACTCTCAAATTCCTCGTGCATCGACGCTTTCCTCAGTTGAAATTCAGTTGAATTGAAAGATCACTTACCTTTTTATTCAGGTGTTCTTCAACGAGCCTTTATCGATCTCTTGTCGTAATCAAGATTTGTGACATTAACTACAATTTAACAATAGTTCCAAACCTATCATTATTTTTCAATCATTGTGCAAAAAATCTAACCGGAAGCGAAAGTAAGAAAGATTAGCTCATGAACCAAACAGGAAGCAACCTCGTTCAGTAGTTCTTCTTACGCTCTTCCTTATTCGTAAAAATGTTTGTAAAAAAGTTTTTTTTTCGATTTGTTTATTTCATACGGCCAAGGGTACGAACGGGATGTTTTATTATGGAATATATAAGCGGTGCATAGAAAATTTAATACAAAAAGTGTTTGAAATCATGCTTGAAAATCATCTTGATCCAAAGCAGAACAAACGAAAGTAAGAAAGCTTAGCTCATGAACCAAACAGGAAACAAACTCTTCAAATAACTGTTCGTTCAGCACTTTATTGGGAACAATGCTAATTGGGCGTTAAAAGAAAAAGACGCTCTTCCTTAATGCAAAAAGTGTTTGAAATCATACTTGAAAATCATCTTGATCCAAAGCAGTACAACCACACTTGATGTAATTTTCCGCTTTGTAAACGATATACATGCAAATGAGATTCGGGTCGAACACGAAACAGTTAATTAACTTAACTGCGTTCGTTGTCACTTATTTATTCATTCTCGCTTGACAACTTGAATTTCTTTGTCTCTCAAACTAGAAGATCGCGTGCAAGATATCAACATGAACAATCCTGAGTGTCGAAACAACAACGCTTTGCGTGCGTCTATGTCAACATTTGTCATTGTGTCACGGAACATGATAAAGCGTACTTAAAATCATTGCGGTTTCCTTAATTTACGAAAATTCAAGACACTGACGTCGACACTTCGGGGTGATACTTGAAACAGCGATGGCGTTTAATCAGATTTGAATATATCTGATATAAATGTGTCGTCTTCACATATCTATGTTTTGTTCAGGTCTGATTTTATATCAATTAGAAATACTCCCTCGCAGGCAAGTCACAAATTCATTAGACTCTCCTTCAATATTCAATATCTTTATGGTGCATTAGTGCGAAAAAAGTATGCTAATCTTTACTTTCGATCCTTTCTCTAAAGGAAAACACGTCACAATTTTGAACTGCAGGGCGGTTCTGAATGTAAAACTTCCCATGAACTTGATGAAGCTCAATAAACTCAGCCGACTTCATTCAATTCAGCGTGAGACATCGAGTTGATAACAACGTTTCGCTATTCAAAGAAGTCAGTTGTTGACTCATTTACCCGTGAGGAACGTTCAGGTGAGTCTTTTGATGCATAACATGTTTATTTATGTACACCCTTTTTTATTATAAGAACAATTAACTTTTGGCTGAGGCTGAATGTTCTTTTTTATTTTGTGACTTGAGCCTGAACGGTGCGTGGTACAGAATATCAATAACTCAGTCTCGACGTGACTAGGAATCCTACAAAATGAGTTGCTCTTCAGTGTATCGTGCGATAAGAATACCGCAATATTAGTTTGAAAACAAAATCCCTAAAAAAATTTAAGTCGATTGTCTTGTTAGACCACAGTTCAAAAAAAAAAATTAAAAAAAAAGAAGAAAAATAAAGACGTTCTTAGCTGACTTTCAGGCTAGGCATGTTCTTATATGTTGTATATATGTTAATTTCAGCCTATGCTTATTTTATGAAAAAAAAGAAAAGAGTGTAAAGTAAGCGCTTACTTCCTTTCCCACATTTGGGTTTGGAAACTCAGCGAATAATACGGCTCAAAGGGTGTCTGAGATACAAGGACTCGAGTTGTAGCACGCGTTTTACGATATACTTTTTCTTCAACTGAAATTATCGCTGTCATTGTGCGCAATCTAGCTGTAAAGTTCAATGTGTCTTGAAAGTGACCTACAGAGCACACTTTCGAAAAAGAAAGCTGTATCGAAAAGCACAGGTTTCTTTCTAGAAGCATTGAGGATCATCAAAACTGAAACCGTACTGACTGGTAAACACTCTATGTGATCTTTCTCGTAGGCTTGGTTACTTTCTTTAAATCCGCAACGGTGTTTGAATCATTAATGTAGTTATTTAAAAATCAAGTTATTTTTGATCCCAGCAGATTACTATGGACTCAGTAATGATGTTTATTGGCCTGATACAAGTTATCTTGGTCTTGTGGATTGTAACACCTTGCGAGAGTGATGTTTGCAGCCAAAAATTTTGTCAATGTACCAATTTCGGTAGGACCCGTGTAGTAGTTAAATGCCAAGTTCATGGATACATTCCGAATGGAATCCCAAGCAATACAATTGAACTGTAAGTGATTAGAAAAACTAAACCTTTCTTCACAAAGGGAACTGAGTTATGGTTTAAGCTATGTTTGCCATTTGAAAGCAGTGTTTGGTTTATCTGTTGAATTAAAAAAATAAATATATATAAAAAAAAAACACATTTACAAATTTACCAATCAGTAACACCCATCTGTAACCTTTGTTTAGTTTTCTAAAGTATGTTTTTCTTAACTTTCTAGCGTAGCTTCATGCTTTTAAAATGATAAAAGTGTTGCAACTAATTTTCTTGTCGATTTCTGCATTAGAAACCTTTCGAGTTGTTCCTTAAAGTCGATTTCAGAAGACTCCTTCAGGAACCTAACTGTTTTAAAATTACTGTAAGTAAATAATTTTAAAGTATGGGATAGATTCAGGTTAAATCAATAGGCTTGCATAATTATTGTTATTGTTATTGTTATCACAATTATCACTATCATCGTTGCTATTATTATTTTAGGCTTTTTATGAAATTTAATAACCGTTAGACATGTATTGAAGGGAAAGACCAAATAGTGTAAGCTTCGCCGTTAGTATTAGAGATCTATAATTATCAACTACAGCCCATGAATTTCTCGAGAACAATAGACATTTTGCGCGATGATATATTTGCAGTAACGTTTCCATTATGCATGCTTACCTGTTATCGAAATTGGGTGACAAGGTTGCCAGAATTTAAAACCCGGATAAATCTTCTAGCGGAAACAAACAGTCATTTGACTACTGGAGCGCTGCTTGGAATTTCAAAAACAATCAAAATTTGTCAAAACACTGAGTCTGAAGGTAGACTTGAGAATTCTAAAAGCAGAGTTGAGAAGTTGACCAGACATTAAGCATTCAGATACCTACCACAGAACAAAAGAAATAGAGTTTTTTTTATGGAGAGAATTTCGGAGTTTTAGCACTGTGAGATTTTACTGATTATCTGTAAGCTTCTTGAAAAAAAAAAAAAAAGAAAGAAAAAAAAAAAAAAGAGAACCAAAACTATATTAGTCAATCTGAATGAAGTATTTTTTATCATTTACTTTCATGTACAAATGTTTAAATGGAGTGCAGTAAATGGAAGCAAATTTTGCATGTATTTTAATTCGGCAAGCTTTGATCAATAATTGTAATAAACTTTTTCATTCTAGTGACTTGTCGAATAACTTATTACGACGCATTCCCTACAACACTTTCAAGAATATGGATAAGCTGGAAATAATGTAAGAATGCGTTTATTTATAACGAATGAGTAGGTTGATATGTTTGTCCGTTTAAAAGCATCTCCTGTCCACAAATTTTCATAAAATCTTGTCAGCGTCTGTGTTTTCTCTAATCCCAATCCCTTTAATTTATAATTGTGAATCTATTTACTGTTTCAAAATCTTAAGCTAAAAGTAACTAAATATATAAATTTTAGATTAACGATGTGATGTGCAATTTCTGACCTTCATATTTTTGGAACTTACAATTGTTTCCCTAGAAATCTTGCCGACAACCTAATTTCAGGGAGTTTCTACCTTCCGGAAAGTGTATCTCAGCTGTGAGTTTTGTTAACGATATATTTTTGAAAAGATAGAAGAAACATATTAAAATTCGCAACTGATTTTTATCCTTACATTAAATTGTAGCTTTTTTTTCAGATCGTCCTTTTTTTCTTTTCATCGCAAGCAAACACAGAAGACCTTCGATAAATGTGATGCAAGCAAATATGAATTTCCTCTTTCTCTCTAAAAAAAAGACCGTCAGGTCTGCACCTTAAGCTGTTAGTTAATGTGAAGCAATCAAAATAAAAGTGAACTTGTCATCTTTGTGTCCTTTGCAAAGTATTTACCCAGTATATCGGGAGAACATTTACGGTGTTTGTTGGCTTATGTCTCTTACCTAATGGACGTTTTTCAAAATGTTTTCAAACTTAGTAAATTCATTAAAAGTCAATGCTAAATATTTTACTTGCCTAGCGTTATCAAACACAACTTTCTATCAAGTACTGACGCAAAAGTCATTCTCAAAGGATTAAAACGGCTTCGAAAACTGTAAGTACGACCTTTTATCCTGTTCCACATGCTTACAGAATCAATAATATATGTCGTACAAGTAAAAGGGAAAAAAAGACAAATATGAAAGAAATAAAGAACGTATGGAAGTATGGACCCGTAAGCCTAGTCCACGATCCAGTTCTCGTTAACTCATTGCCAGCGAATCGGAGGGGGGTATCCGAAAGTATTGGTTTAAATATTTAATGAAAAATTGATTTTTTCCTTATAGATCCACGCTCGTGATGAAAATAATAACTGCTTTCTCTGTTCTAAGTTCAAGCTCAAAACTTACCATGTTTCTTTCAGAAGTGTCGCAATTTTTTAAATAATGATATTTTTTTATTATATATATAATCTATCGCAGTTACTCATCTTGAATACCTATGTCTTGTCTATACACGAAACGGTCAAACTTTATCTAACAAGGATATCCTGCTCACTGGGCACTTTTACAGGGATATTGATTCAAATCCACTCGGACCTACTTTGCCATCCGACATGTTCGCTGGCTTTAGTAAGATGGATATTCTGTAAGTTAGTAGCTCTAGAAAATTCTCGAATGATTTCGAAACTTGTTACAAAAACGCCGAGTGCGAACGTGATCAGTCACGTGCATGCTTGACTACTCTCTCACTGTTCCTTTTAGATAACGTCCCTTGTTTTAAAAAGTTTAAACGTTTTTGCCCAGCGTTTTGCTTCCGAATGTTGTTTATTTAGCCAACTGATTTGTGCTCCTTTGGGTCGATTCGGCTTTTTCTCTTTCGACTAAGTGGCCATACCGATAACTACGCCTCAAATTAAATGATTATTCGTTTTAAAGTGTCTGCTATCACCAGATCATGTTTCGCACGAGTTACAATCAATTTGATAAAGCTGGATCAACGTAGAAAGTTGCGTTATTTTCTTGCGGGTTCAATTTTACAGAGAGTGAAAACAACAAATTTTAAATGAAATACATGTTTTTCACCTCTTTAGAGGTTGGCTGCCGTTCTGTAACAAAACTGTTTTAAACTACTGGTTCAATAATCCCCCCTCGCGATCCAGCTCTTTCAATAAAATTCTTGACTATTAAAATATGACTTAGGAATGGTGTTTGTACTTTGGCTGAAAAGAAAACAAAAACAAAAACAAAAACAGAAAAGCATTGGAAGTGACAGAGAATTCATTAGTGATAGACTTGTCTCATAAATCCGTTGTTAGAACTTTCCATAGTTACATTGTTTGACAGTTTCTACTCTTTCCTTCACTTCAAACTATTTCGCGACTTTTTTTCATAGCTCCATGAGAGGCTGCCACCTGGAAGATATCGAAAATGGAACATTTAGAGCCATGAAAAATCTTACAGACCTGTGAGTGAATTTTTTCTTGGATATTTTTATTGATTTTTCAGATGTCCGAGCGATTGTACGCGGTATGCGTCATGAGAAGAGCGGTCCGAAAGTTATATGTACATAATGTTAACTAGATCAAGAAGTTGTGTTTTATGTTCTGTTGTGCAAACACTTCTCGTGACGTTTGACTTAGGCAATCTTAGCAGGTTTATTTTGCCGAAACTTTTCTAAGCCCGACCATCCACAAGTCATTATACATTTGTCCGTTTTTAGTGATCTGTCCTTCAATAACCTGACTCATATACACAAGGGTACGGTGGAAGGACTTACGGATCAGCTGACAAATCTGTAAGTAAATCGTCGTTAAGGAACACCGTTATTTACAGAATAATAAGAACTTACTAAAAAGAAATTTTCAGGAGACCGCGATCGTTTCTATGGACAGTGGTTTAAACCACGGATAGTACCTTTGGTAGCGCCTTGTTTATTTCACATTTGAATAGATAGGCTGATTGACTTTCATATGCATCTATGCAAAGCAGAAGCAATACGACCCTTCTTCCCTCCTCCCCCCTCGCCTCCACAGACAAAAAAAAAAAAAAAAAAAGAAAAAAAAAAGAGAAAAAAAAAGAACTGTTTTGACTCTTCTAACAATTGATAGGTACCTTGACGGAAACGAATTAGAGACCATAAGTGATGGAACGTTTAAACAGTTTAAAATTCTCCAAAGATGGTAAGTGAGACACCAAGTGCAAGATTAACAGCTATTGTAAACCTGAAATGCTTATATCTATACCAAGAGGATATGACCAGTTTTTTTTTACGGCCATGTCGCCCTAAAGGCATCTTGCCCGAAGTCATGTTGCCCTAAATCCGGAGTCATTTCGCCCAGTTTTTTTTTTTTTTTAGTCACAAGTAAAAACATCGAAATGACATATCCTGCTTTGTTCAACGCTTGATCGGGAGTAGCACTAAATAGACGTAAGTTCCCAATCAAACGCAGAAGATTAAATAATGTATGACAGGAAAAAGAGGAAGGAAAAAAAAATACCGAAGAAATGAAACATTATTCTAATTCGACATGACCGCTTGAAGTGGATAAAGTTTAAACCTATTGTGGTAAAGATGTCATGAATTAAAAACCGGCCGGAATTCTGCTATTTTAAAAGTTATCTTTTAGTTTGCACTGAAAACGTTTTGCCATGTTTTATATACTATATCCTGTAGCTCCTTGCTTGTTGACCATATATGATCGAGGCCCAGAGAAGGACATTGCTAATTGCTAAGAGAAACACGGTAGCGTTTTGCTCATTTGCTTTTTTCTATTGCTGTTTGTACGATTTCTACAGCACTCTTCGATGGAACAATCTAACATCTGTACCAGATTTGACAGGTCCTAAGGTTTTTGTAAACCTGTAAGTATGGTGCGTCCTAAACTTCTAAACTTCAAACTACCCAACCCCCCTTCTCTCCAGGCAACCCACGGTCATTTGACCGTTGCCAGTGCCCGGTGGGATTTGGAACCTTGCTTTGTTGGGGTGGGCAAATTTAACCAGAAGTGTTAAGTCTTTCCAGTGGAATACAAGTGTTCAATCTTTAAATACGGAGGTGAACGTTTAAGGCAAATAGTTCCTTTTTGAGAAGGAAATGCTCAGAAGAAAAGGTCTACGAAGTGTAGGCTTTAAAGCTTGGTCAATATGTAGAGAGTCTTGGTCGCTGCGCAAGAAAAAAATAAAAAATGGTTGGGGCGTTTGAACATAACTTTTGCTCCGGGGGCGGGAATTTGAAGAAACCAATCTTCATAAGTTCAAAAGCCCGGGGGTGCCTGGGGAGAATGTTAAAACTTCAATTACACGGCCTCTAGAGATTACAAACTGGTTTATCATCTCCGAACGCCCTTTAATGACAACTGGTAAAGATGGTTATTGTATTATTTCCTTCTATTGTTGGAAAGAACCACTCCGTGTTTTTAGTTTCCACATTTTCGTGACTTTAATCACCCTTGCATAATCAAATTCCAGTTATTTGGAGAAAGTAAGTCTTCTCAAAAGCTTACCGCAGGTTGCCACAAATTGAGACTAGGTTCAGTTCAAGGTGAGCGTCGATTCAGAAGATCTTCAACAGTGAACAAATAGGACGCGTTCAAATAATTCTCATTGAAAGACTTCGCTGAAGTATCAAAGGTAATACAAAGAAAAAAACTCAAATCAGTTTTCACAATTTTTTAAAGTTTTTGTTGTGCTTTTGGCAGAAAATTAGATAGTAATCGGATCAAAGATATATCAAGAATTGCAACATCTGGAATTAAACACCTCTTTGAGCTGTAAGTATACAAATGACTTTCTGTGAGTAGACGTTTCCAGTTTGTTTCCTGCAGTAAATTCTTGTGATCAGATTCATTGGTGCGAGCGTGATCCATATTTCCAGTCCGTGCAGATGCCATGTCTGTTTGCAGGACAGCGTAGTAGATCGAATTTCCCCTTACAGAAACTTCAAACTAGTGCGCTGAATATCTTAACAAACAATTAGTTCAAACGTCAGCTACGACACGAAGCACGCGCAAAGATATGTCAGCAAACAAGAACCAACTATTGACACCGAGCTTTTTTCGTGTATACAATATTTCCTGCGTGCTCCATATCATTATGAATGCACGCTGGTACAAGAAACAATAGTAAAATATTAGAGAAAGCGACTTAATTTTCTCTATAGCAATAAAGTTTGTCTTTCCTCAAATTTGGGTGCAATAATCAAATTCTTTCTTACGCTTTAGAACATCATTTTGGACTTTTGACATCGAGTAGTTTTCGGAGATAAAGTTAGTGGTGTTTCGTCGAAAGCAATTACTTTATTAAAAAGTAAAAGATGCAAAATGCAGGTTTTCAAAAGATCAAGAGTGCAATTAGAGTAAACGAGTCGACAGTTTTCAGGCTTTGAAAAAAATTAAGAGTGCCTTTTTCATTCCAAATTGCGCGTGAATGATTCTTTATTACCTTTAACAAAATAATCATGCAAAAGCAAAGAGCATATCACGTGCAAACTGATTCATTCAAAATTTGCACATGCTCTTGTGTTTTCAGTCAAAAGAGCCGCGTTCAGTCAAAGAAACGATATTCTATTATGTTTCATTATAGTCATTAATTTTTATATCAAAAGCCCCGATACACATTCTGTTGCCTCTTTTCGAATTACAAATTGCTTTTCTCGTGCATTGTTTGGTCAAAAAATGCATTTCGCAAGTCAATCAGTTTAAGGTATTTTTTTCTTATTTAAGTATTGTGTAAGCCTTAACGTTCCTCGATGTTAAGCTTATCGGATAAAATTTTAAGTTTAAAAAAAATAACACTTTTATCTTGTAGGTTGCTGGCCAGCAATGAAATCGATTATCTTCCACCAAACATATTTCAAAACATTTTCATTATGGACTCCATGTAAGTAAGATTTTATTTAATAACAGACAAGGAAAGTCAAACTGTTCATGGATTTTTATACTAGTTATGTAACCCCCTTGAGTGGTATACCGTAGAATATCCCACGAGTTTTTGTATTTTCTCGGTATATGCATACCCCTCTGATCTCCGTCGACCTTTCGAATCTCCCGAAAATAAAGTGATAATGGCATAGTAGTCATCCAATTAGGCTGGGGGAATTTCTGTCAGACCTCTTTCCTTTAAAAATGAGGTAGTTCTTGAATTAAGTTGACAAACTTGCTGTCATCCGAACTCGTTTTCTCCACTGCGCTTAAGTTTCTTCACTTTTCAGCGAAAACATCAACTTCTTGATCAGTCAGCCATACCTTTTTGGTTAAATATTTATTTTTACTGAGTTTCCGACCTCATGATTAACGTCCTAGGAAAATTTGGCTCAGAAACGACTCAAAGAACACCTAAAATAAACTGGAAACGCCGCCACCGCTCGTATAATTTCGGCAGAATAAGATCGGAAAGGGCGGCTGCAATACTTTCGAATATACTACTGATTTCTTTTATTCTGGTTGGTTGTATTTTTAATAGCATGGTTCCAATAGTTATATAAGTAAACGCAGTAGATGCGTCTGTTTCTTATCCCTAATCTTATTCATGTCATCTTCCTCATAGTGACTTGTCATTCAACAAATTGCAGTCCATACCAGATGGCCTATTCAATAAGCTTGGAAAATTACAAACTTTGTGAGTAAACATTCAGAACACTTTTCCCAAGTTAATGATAAATTGTATTTTGTTGTTAGCAGCAATATCCTGTTGGAAAATGAACATTGTTTTCGATAATTTCTTGTTTATTTGCCCTCCTCCCTTAAAACCAGCCACACAAAAGCGCTGTGAAAATTAAAGCTAACTGATTCTACTTTTTACACAAATGTTATTTGCTTTCTGGGAGGTTATATCATAAAAATACTTCGATCCGATGTCGCAAACCTAATTGTGACTTGCCCTGCTTCACAAAAAGTGATATTGTTATTAATATCATTACAGTTATCATCATAACCATTATTATTGTTATTCAAACGGTACAATTGTTCACAATGCTCTTTTTTCTAAATCAAGGATGATTAACTTCAACAACATCTCCAACATCAACAATCGCACTTTTGAGGGACTTTCAAGCTTGAAGACACTGTAAGCTCCTTTTTTGGTTTTTCATGTCTGTAATCCCTCTTGACTGATTAACTCACTCACTAATCAATAAATTGCCTCTTGGTTTTTATTTATCTATTTATTACGTTATTCAATCATATTACGTCTACAATCCTTTCTTAAATAGATTTTGTGTTTAATACTCTTTTTCAATTTACAGCATGCTGATAAAAAACAAACTGACATTTATTTCCAACGGTGCTTTTGATGAAACTGCTTTGCAATCAGTGTAAGTACATGTACGTTTAATAAAGTTAACGTATATCCTGGAATATAATAAGGAAACAGAATATAATATTCAAGGAAACCAGTAAAGTAAAACAGAGGTGCATTGTAATACACGCAGGGCATGACATGGATGACAACGTCTATATATCAACATGGTTGATATATAGACGTCCCATAAACATGAATGTTTCAATGCGTAACATAGATTACAAGCACTGAGTCCTGTTGGTGTTAACAATATGAGAAATTTGACTTACTTGGGTTTGTTTTTTTTTTGTTTAGTTTTTGTTATCATTTCTTCCTTTATATAGTTTTCTTCACAGTAATGCCATCAAAACGATTGGAAGTGAATCCTTTAGTAGACTTAACCTGAAACAACTGTAAGTAAATTGAAAAATAAAGTGAAGTTTTAAACGCTGCAATGAAATGTATTAATCTAGCTTACCACTTTGGCTTCAAGAGGATCATTGATCTGCTTTTATGGAGATGTTGCCATTTGAGACTTTCTTAATCCTTTACACCCTGAGAGTGAATATTCTCCATACTGATTTGTATACGTTTTGTAAGGTGCTGGTAAGGAGAATTGTTTAACAATTAAGAGCTTCTTCGGTTGGCGATCACCTCTATTCTTCTCCCCACGTGGATGATATTGTTAAGAGAAATTGGATACTGATCACTCTAAGGGTTCAAAGGGTAAATTTTGACCGATGTAAGAGGTGATTTTAGATATATGAAATTCATATATTTGCACTGTGGTCAAGAAACGAATTAAAGAGATCCTAGCAGCTAAGAATACTACTGAAACGAGTAGTTGAAAATAGGACCTGGAAAAATTTCAGGCCCGTACGGGATTTGAACCCATGACCTTTGCGATACCGGTGCAGTAAAAACGGTAGCCGCATCAACCATATGGTAAAAAAAAAAAGACAAAAAACAAGAAAACACCATGTCTCTATAATTATGTGTAGGCTTGGGTTAATCATTAACTTCATTATTCACATATTTTTCAGTACTATCTTTGATAATCCTCTACACTCATTACCAGATGGAATGTTCGACAAAATGGACACCGAAACCAAAGTGTAAGTGAATCCAAAGCACTCATTTGAATATTTTATAGATGACTATCGCTTTTCGAAAGGCCACATCTTGATTTAATGCAGATCGTCAAGGCTGAAGGAGAGATTAATAAGCTTTTAAATCTAAGCTGATCTCACTGTTGTTTTTCCATCTGTTGATTTTCGTATAAGGATATGCGGTTTCGTATTGGGTAACGCAGTGGACTCAAATTGAACAGACTGGGTACGAGACAAGCTAAGCAAATTTATTATATGGTGTTCTCGAGCGGGAGATTCTACTCCATAAGCCTATTTACACCTATAAGAATAAATTTGCACGTGAAAATTAGACAAATGGGGCTAAGGTCCTGGAGAAACCATGGTGCTGTGTGGGTGGGGGGAGGTGGGGGGGGGGGGAGGGGGGGGAGGTGGGAGGGGGGGGGGCAGGAGGGAGGCGGGGGGAAGAGGTCTTACAAGATAACCTGACTACAGTAAGCTGACCTTAAGAGCGTTGGCCCATCGGCAGATCGAATACTCGTCCCTTTATAGTACAAAAACCTCGATAAACGACCACCGTTGGTGGGGACCACAGATCTTGAGAGTATCGCTCCTGCAATAAAATTATCATCAAAATAATCTACAGATCGTTGACATGTAAAAACCTTCTTCAGCTGCCCAAAGGACAGTATCAGTCAGTAATGTGAGTATTTTAACGCTTCAAGATGACTTATTTCATATATTATGTCTTGGCATCTGTACTATTAGATTCATTGTTTCCAGACGATGCACTTAAGTCAGAAGCCCCTAATGGCTCCTGCTAAAGTCTACTGAATTGAATACTTGTTATTATTAGAATTTCAAGTGCTTTTAATATTTTTCTATTTTCTTAAACTTAAGTGACTGTGCCCCTTCCACCACATTCCATATACTTTTAACCGGAAAAGAATTTGTCTACATTGGTGGCCTGAAAAGTTCAGGCTTTGAGTGCCATCCCTGTAATCCTCGTCCCAGAGGCTCCGGATGTCGTAACTGCTCTCTTTGTCAAGTTGGTTATTTCATGTACCTCAAAGAGATGTGTGTCAAGTGTCCTGCAGGTGATAAAAGAGATTTAAAATGCTTCATGTCATAGTTAAATAATTTTGGAACAACAACAACATTACTAGAGAAAATTTGAGGCTTTGTTAGTTACGTTCTTTTAATAGAAGAGGTCTCAAGCTTGGTCAATCCGAGTGCTAGTATCCTAACTGAAATTTTCCTTTATCCCATCGTCGTTTCTTTTGCTATCGTTTTAAAGTTTTCATTCTCGCTTTCTTTTTTTCATTAGTTGGTTTTTCGTATTAAGTGAGCTGATGCTTGTAGGGCCACTGCCAATAAGGCCAGTTTTCACTCATAATCAGTTTTATGTCGTTGCATCCTTCTTACATAATATCTGGTGGCTACCGTTTCATTTCCGTTTTAGTTTCTTTTCCGGTTTTACGTTACGTTCCGTGTCACGTGACAATTTCACGTTCTTTGACATTTTGGAGAGAGTTTTACCTTCGTGTTGCTGTTTTAGTTCGCAAAATAGTTCTTTAACGTGGTTGCGATTGTGATCGTGATTGCGTTATTGCGATTTCCCTTTTTCTTGTACGTTATCTTGTAACGCTACACACGGATTAAAGGGGAAAGCTACATATCTTCACAGGTGGTTTTTATCAGGATGAAATGGGACAACTTAATTGCAAAAGATGCAGTATTGGTACATTTGTGTCTGAAACGCGACGTCCTGGGACAACTTCTACGGACTGTGTGGCATGTCCATATGGTAACTGATGTTTTGTCTTTGAGATACTCTTAAAATTTTTCACCATCAAAACCTCTCTCTTCAGGACATTCCATGTGTGTTTTATAGCGTTGCAGGGAAAAGAAAATGTCTCTTCTCAATCCAAAACGGGAACGGCTGGCAAATTAATTTCTCGCCAGTTTGAGTACCGCCGAACTTCATTTTGTGTCCACAAGTAGAACTTATCCTTGGAGCTAATTCCTAACTAACTGTAAGCAATTTGATGAGTTGAATTTATTTTTAAGGTTGGTTTTGCGCCTTTGTAAAAAATAATGTTAATAAACTATTTATCTAAATTGCAGGTACTCTCTCCAACGAGACTGCGGAATATCGAGCATGCAGATGCCTTCAAAACTTTTATCGGTTGGATCGTTTTGGCCCGTGCTCAGCATGTCCACCACACGGTTTTGTTTGTGAGAAGGATACAGCGATACTTGCTCCTAACTTCTTCTGGAAATGGTCAAATCAGTCTGAAAAAGAACTCTTCAAAGGTTTTGTTAACAACATCCACTCTTCTAAGCCAGATTACGACACGTCATATTCTACGTTTAATACTTTACTTCCAAAGCCACTCAAATGTCCTTATGCCAAGTCTTGCGAGGGTGGAATCGACTCTGAATGCCACTATGGGTATAAAGGAGTTTTGTGTGCAACCTGCTCTAAAGGCTTTTACTTCCGATTTCACACTTGCTTGAAATGTCCTCGGTTAACTGTAACAGTTACTTCTTCCATCCTGGTAATTTCTCTTTTTGTTGCTGTGTTTCTAATGGTTCTTTGGGGTGACTCCAAACGTGCAGAGAATAACCGGACAGTTGCAGATGTCGTCATGTCGTGCTTTAAGATTGTGATTGGTTTTTACCAAGTCATTGCTGGAATTTTCTCGGCATTAGCGAAAGTCCAGTGGCCAGTCATTTTGATCTCAACGGAGAAGGTTCTAAAAGTGTTTGAAGGGAACATCTTGCAGTTTGCGCCACTAAGCTGCATTCATTCTTCCCTGCGTCTCGATGAGCTCGGAAAGTTCACAGTGATCGTTGCTTTGAATGTCCTACTTGTCGGCTTGATTTTCCTTTATCTTTTCGTTAAAAGACGCTACATTATAAACACAACTGACCGAGCCGAAAGCCAAAAAATAAGGGAAATTAAGAGTTTGAAGAAATCTTGCTATCGGAACATTTTCCTATTGTTGTTGACGACCTACCCCACGACGAGCAAATCGATTATTCAGATTCTGCCTCTTCCTGGTGCGTGTGTAGAAACGTGTTTCTCTAAAGAAAAGCTCGACTGTATCTTCCTGCTGAGAGCTGACTACTCCATCCAGTGTTTCACTCCTCGCCACAGCTTGTATTGGCTCATGGCCTCTATTCTGGCATTATATCCCGTAGGATTTCCACTTTTGGCTCTGTTTCTCACTTACAAATATCGTGAGTCCCACGAAAACGAAGCAGTCTCTTTCGGGCTCAGAGTGTTCTTTGAAAACTACAAGAAGAAATTTTGGTTTTGGGAAGTCATAGAGATGTACCGCAAACTGATATTGATCTCATTGATTTTCCTATTTGGATCTAAAAGCCTTCCTCAAATAGGTCTCACAGTTCTGACAGTCAGCGTCTTTGGAGTGGTCTACACCTTATTCCGACCAATCAAGGACAAGTTTGAAGACCGCTTACAAACATTTGTTCTTTGGATAATTTTCTTTGACGTTTGTCTTGGTGCAGTTTACACAAACTGGGATGAGAGTCAAGGAGAGGACAAGAACGACTCCATCTTTGTAAATGTCCTGTTCGTGGTCCTTAACGCCTCTGTATTGTTATTTGCCATTGGTAAGTCATAGTGCTGCTCTTTACGTTTTATCGATTAATTTAACTTTACATTCACAAATATTAAAAGTGCAAATAGCAATTACCGGGAAGTTTTAAGGAAGTGGGATATCTAAATGTCGCATCTGTGGAATTTAGCATCATACGTTGTGTATATTTAGGCATTTCCACTTTGCTTTTTCATATTGCTTCACATTTTGTCATTCCCGTTTTAGTTATGTTATGACTCAGAATTAAGTGTTTTTGTATTCTTAGACCAATTACTTCGGAGAAATCTTGCATATCATTGTTTAAAAGCAATTATGCAACATAGCTGGTACTCTTCGGTAGAAAGCTTTGCAGTTATCGTTTATCATACAACCTGATTGGATTAGTGAATATTACTGGTTGCTCAGATCACTAAGTTGTCCTCAGTTATTCAAGCAGCTGGAACGAAAACTGTCCATATATATCTTGCTTGAGAGTCATGCCTTATCAAATACCAAGAAAACGCCTCAGTGAATCTAATAAGCTTCTATTTTATACATACTGAGATTAATACTGTGAAGTACTATTGTTCGTGTCTCTGATTGGACGAAAGATGTATTTTAACAATCGTTCGCTTCCCATCTTTGAAATGGGTCGGTCATTAAGAAAAAATGATGAGAATGCACTCCCTCCCGTAGCCTTAGACAAGTCAAGAAGAATTGTTCTTAAAAAAAGTCAGAGTGCGAGTTATTGGGAAATTTTGGTTAACCCTAACCCTAAGAGGTTCCTCGTTAACACTTTATACAAAAATACAAATGTTATTGAAAAATTGATAATTATGCTATTCTGTTCTTATCTTTTACTGCGTCAGGAAAGGGAATATCACATGTGAAGTTATTTCGCAAGTACTTTACCGTCTGCCCGATGAGACGTTTCAATTTCCTTCGCCAAGGACTGGCGCTTCTTAAGAATAAAGCGGTCACCACAACACCTGAAGAATCATGCTTGATCGAGGATGGCACCTAAGAGCCTCGCCGATATATCTTATCTATACCGTTGTAACATATCTCGAAAAAAACAATAATAACAACAAGAACAACACCAATAACAGAAACATAGTTGAGGGGGTTTACCTTGGACGGCTTGATAACTTCTTTCACGTTAACGCTCATGATTAAGCTTTAACACCCCCCTAGCCTCGGCAACTCAACGGCTTTTGACTGTCGTCCGTGCCCTAGGGGTGTGGAATTTGAACCTTGCCTGACTGGGTTGGGAATTTGGGACGGAAGTGTTTTGTCTTTCCATCGAAATACAAGCGTTATATCTTGAAATATCGAGGTGCTTAAATCTAAAGAATTAACTTTCGTGAGCGAAACTGAATAAGAAGAAAAGGTGTGGATCTTAAGGTATTAAAGCTTAGTCAATGTGCAGAAAGTCACAGTCGCCGATCTTGCCTCTTACCAGAAAAAATTGACCATCAAATCCGGCACTTGGTTAGGGCATTTGAACACAATTCAGACTGACCCCACATACGGGAATTTGAACAAATCAGTCTTTAAAAGTTCAAATGGCCGAAGTTTTCCCCGGGTAGGGGGGATGTTGAAGCTTCATTACATAGACTGAACTGCCAATTGGTTAGCCTTCGTAATTACTGAGTTGGGTTTTAAAAAGGAAACACTTGTGTTCGCGCAAGGAGGCCACTCGATGGAGGGTTCCAATGGGGTGATGGCTTTGACGGCTAACAGCCAAAAATTTTGGTCAATGTACTACTAACGGTTAATATCTCTCCATTGCAATCACCAGAATTTTTTTTTTCACGATTTTCTTTTTTTAAGGCTAACGGTTAAAATTTGTCAGTACTTTGGCATAATGCCTGGCTGATTTTTTTGGCCTTTGTACGGCTATCGGTTTACCTCGCAGCCCTTCCCTGCATCTAAGCAGTTCGGAAAGCTGCAAAACTCTGGAACAAAAATCGAAAGTATCTATCGGCTTTTTGAAGCCCTTCTTTTCCATCGTTGACGTAAATCGACAAATTTTTGAAACGTCTGGAATGTTTGACATTTTCCGTATCTGTTAGCAAGGAACGAGTTGCCAGTAATCAGATCCTCTTGTTAGCGTAACCTTGTTTTGACGTAATAATACACGATTTGATGAGAATGCATCGCTTTTTCGCTGCCATTTTATCACAAATGGATTTATGTAATGTTGATGCAAGGGAAGCGTACGCTTTGTGTGATTAATCATGAAACATCTAATAAAATATACCGATTATCCTCTCGTCTTGCGTAGGGTTTATTGTGAAATTGGCATCACGCAATGGTCTCAAATATCACAAAATTAATGGCTCATTTACATTTACATGTACGTGGGAGACCCCAGGTAGGTGAGGTTACCTGCGTATTGGGGGGAAGGGGGAAGGGGAAGGGGGGGGGGGGGGGTCAAAACCGGGTCAAAACCGGGCTGTCCCTATAATCTCTTAATTTATCTTGATCATGTTGACATGATAGATGGGGTGACCCGCCTAGGCGGGTTGCCCGGTCTGTTGGTAAGGGTAACCCTGTCATCCGGGGTGACAATTTGCATTGTAAAAGTCTCAAGGTGAGGCAACCCGCTTGTCCTCTATGAGCCACCGTAGAAACACGGGTGTTTTAAAACTTTTTACATTTCCGAGCCGTCCCACGCAGAGCTAAAACGTTAAAACACTATTTTTTACGTCCTGTTAGCAATGAAACCTCGACAACGATCTAATTACGTTTTTACTTTGAACTCAACACTACATTCACATATAACACCGAAGTGAAGACATTGTACCGTCAGAAACGGTAAACGCATGGCGAAATAATGGCGAAAATCTTAAAGGACGATAAAATACTGACGTTTTTTGGCAATTTTTCACCACCGCTGTTAAACTCCTTAAGAGCCCATGATTGTAAATATCGAGAATCGCTAGCCAGGCTAAAAAAAATCGAAATATTCTGATAATTTGCCTGGCATATCAAACTTATCCTATAGAAAACTGAACATTTGCTTAAATTGGTCCCAAGCCTCCGTATTACTCACCTGACATGCGCAGAGCAATTAAATATGCAAAGGGCGCCAATGTTAAAAATGGCGGCTAACAGAGTGAAGCGGGAGCGTAAGACTCTGAAGAGATTTATTGACGAATTCGCAGAAGCTAAGACCAAGCAATGCAAGAAAATAAAAACTACGGATAAGAATATTTATCCTGTAGAGATAATACAGGTCGACAAAGCGAGAAACATGGTCAAAATTCATTTCAAAGGGTACAGCGAGAAATTTGACGAATGGAGGCCATGCGATGAACATAATTTGCCCGTAATGCGATTGGAACCGATGTCAAAACCAACCGATGATTCCTTCAGCGATCGCCTGCAAACTTTTTATGAACGCGTTTACAGGGAGATCAAGCGAAAGTTGTACTCCGGGCGCAGAGAGGATCCAGAAGTTCGTATTGAAATTCAAGTCTATGACGACGTTTTCTATAAAAGTCTTGGAAGGATTTCATCCAAAAAATATCAGAGGAATAAACTAATATATGAAATTCTTTCAAATGAAACTCTGGATTGTTATATCGGCACAAAGTGGAATGAGCGGATCATGAATGAAAACGGCGATTTTGCTTATGTTGTACAAACTGTGACTTTTGGTTGACAAAAAGAAACCCCATAGTGGAATTTAAATTAATTGGCGATAAATACGTGAGATCTGAAATCGAAGACGGGTATCAACTCGTTTTTACATTTGTCCGTGGAGATGGCAACAGATGTGGATACAAAAATATGGTCCATCATTAATATATTTGATTTAGCACATGTTTATTGATTTTGATAGTTGATGTCAAAGAATTATTTTACTTGCATGTGAATTACCTTCATAAAATGTAAACATGTGGTTATAAATGACCCATATATTTCAGTCTATGATTCTGTTGTAATCAATGCAGTAACATTTTTGAAAAAGACTCCTTGAATGCTGTATACAAGAAACATTTCACAGGCATAGCAAATTATTCTACACAACTTCTAAGTTTTTGGGTAATAACTTTAATACATTGATATATTATATGATTACTGATTGATTAAATCACATCTTGGCTTCCATTTACCATCTATGGACAAGATGTGCACAGAAAGTGGGAGCATTAAGAGAAAGTTTCCACAGTTGTAACTTTCCTTCACCCTTTCCAAACCAGCTGCTTCCAAAAGCTGTATTCTGTGTTTATGAAAAGTTGGATTTAGAGCAGAACCCCTCTTGATTAGATGATCTCCTTTGATACAGTGTCATTGTACTTCTCCATACCTTGCTGAGTGTAATAAGCTAAATTTTGGTAGAGCTTTAAAAATTCAGGTACATGAGCATACAAAGAATGCATATATGGTGTTACATCTTTTGCTTGGTAAAGGTTTAAGAAATTTTGAAACCATTTTTTGATTTTGTCTTTGAGGCTAGAGATAGCATCATCTGTAGTGTAATTAATGAAATTACCCCAAAGGGCTTGCAGATTGTCCACATTATGAAATCTGGTAATAGTAAGTGAAAATTTATTTGGAAAAGCAAAGTTTTTCAGGTCCAACACTCCAACTTCTTGCTGTCCCTATTAATTTTCCATTCAAAATTATTCAAATTTCTCAACCCAGCCATATGTCTATACTTATTTCGACAAAACCCATTTGAAAAAGTAGATACCTTGTCAAATCTTTCCTGCGAAGTTCCCTGATCAGAACTTAAATTATCAGATATTCTCAAAAATAAATGTAGAGTATCAATTATTACATGGTCTATGGAATAAAATCAAATAATGGATTAGTTTTACAATTATATTGCTTAAGCATACTTACTATTTCTTGTAAATCTCTTGCCCCAAGAGATTTGTCAGTTATAGACCACTTTTTACTGATGTCAAACCTTTCATTTCTTGGGCACTTACACCAAATACAAGAGAAATTTTGATTGGCAGCCCCTAAACCACAAACACAGGCTAGAAACTTCCAGTCTCCTCCCAAAAAATAATACTTATGCTATTTACAGTTATTTCTTTTAAAAGACAATTAGCAGCAAGGCTTTCTTTAAGATTGAGTTCTCTGTTGTCTTAATTATAGAACATAGTTCCCTTTTTCATTCATTGCTGCATCCTTTTCATCAAAATTGTGTAGTCACATTTTCAAGTTTAAGCCTTTTCCCAATGTTGGTACCATCACCACTGAGCTTTATTTAATAGTAGTAACCTTGTCCAATACTCCATTTTTCAAGCCTTTTTATCTGTCCCTCAAACATCTCCCTGAAAGAAATCTGACTCCCTCTGCCTCCCCTGGTGTACTTCTAATTCCAATTGGCATTGAGCATCTAGGTGTTTGCATATTTTATATTTTATGGGCATGTCTTTACACTTCATGGCCAACTCATGCCAAGCTTCATTAGATATATTGAATTTGTCCTTCAAGTAAACCCACATATTGATGTCATCAATATCATTGTCAGAGTTCTCTTGGCTCTGTTTCCAATTGTAACTCTCCCTCTTCTACCAATGAAATAGTTTCATATTGTTGAGTGTCATTATTAAATACCTCAACCTTGGTGGCAATAAAATTATAGAGGCCTAAAAATGACAGTGCTGAGTGGCAGTCTTCTTTAAATCCTCGCCTTAAATGTTGTTTAGTATAATCAGTGAAAACCTCTTTGTCCCTTTTTTTGCATTCTTGCTGCTTTTTTCGCTAATCTTTTGAATTTTTGTTTGTATTGTTCTTTTCTGTTTTCCGAATCCCTAATAACATCTTCAAGCTCCTGCTCAATCTTTAATCGCTTTGCCTGCTCTGCGGCTAAATCCAGTCAGCTTTCCTTTTCTGCCCATAGCTGTTGGTTTTCCTCAATCAATGAGTTGTTTTCGAGCTCATGATAGAAAATTTTGAAGGAGTAGTTTTTTGCCTTCCACGCATCAATTAGCTTCTTTATACTTTTCCCCCCACTTTTTGACGCTTTCTTGAACGCTGAATGGAGGAGGGAAATCT